CTAGGATTTGAATTCAGGGGTAGGCGATTGGTGACGGTAACGTGTAGAAAATTAGAGAAATGTCTGGATACCGATCCCGTATCCAAAGCCGAATGTGCTAACTTAGGATTCTAATCGCGAAAAGTCTGGAAAATTATAAATATGCATGAGCGCCCGCAAGGATGTTTCTTAGGCGACCGATCTGCACCAGGAAATAATTTTCTATGAAAGCTTACCTGCCCCAAAACTGAACTTGAACAAAGGGGGGTAGCAAATTTTCTTAGGGGGAGGTCCTAAGAATTGCCATAATTTACTATAATTTTTAAACGTGAGATGTTGATAAGAAGTAATTAATTATTTTTTGTTCCTTTGTGATCAGAATCCTTTCCTTGCTTACGCGTGGACAGTTAGGATGTCAATATTAGCCTCCTAACAAATATTCACTACGCTTCCAAAACACATTGCTCCCTAAATTTTATCAAAATCGGTCTTCTTAATGTAAATAAACATTACAAAGCATAAATAATTTTAAAAAATATTACTGGTGCTAGAATAATCCGTCGTGCCTTGATCATTACAAATATTTGCTATAATTGCAGGTTATATAAATTATATAAGTTTTATCACATTATTCCCTAATCTTCATGCTCCGTAATTTTAATTTTCTCACCTAACCAGACGTAACTACGCTCCACATGTATCAAATTCTCCAAACTCGCTATTAAATTTCAATACCATAGTAGGCCATGAAAATACGCTGGTCTCTCTTCCGGCTCTGAATGTGCGCGGCTTAAATGTTTTTTTTTTGAGCTCGCATAATTAGCGGAATTATTGCTAGTAGGCTGTGACTTTTAAAGGGATTTGGATTTTGGAATACATTTTGGGTTCGAGATTAGACATGGAGAAAGGATAGTGTTGATTTCTGTGAAATGATCGATGACGATTTTAGATTTTTCTGTGTCCATCGTTCATGCTTTTTCGGAATATTTATGAGTGGTATGGGTACCTATAGATTTGTAATTTTACTAGAGTTTTGGTTGCTGTGACGTAAATATTCGATTGGTTAAAGATCTGTGTAATATATAACCGATGACAGAACTTCGTTGATTCTCTTCTCTTGAAGGCCTTATGTATGTATCTAGTAGATTGTGTCTAAATATTAATGTTTCGCTTCTCCAAGTACTATTTATACTATTTATCTACGATGGTATTTCCTATCCTTAAGAAAGGCAGGGGTACTTCTAGATTTCAACTGTTTGGTGTAGGCGCTCTATTTTGAGGTTATATTTCCTTCTGTTTCCTCATCTGTTTTATCAGCCTGAAATTTGTTAAGATTCAAAAAGAAAACATAACCTCACAATAGGAGAGCGCTGACGCTGACCCGGAACAGTATAAATCTAGAAATACCACAGTATTTCTGGAAAGGACTATGAAAATCAAGCAGGCGATAATGTCTACAATTATTGTGGAATGACTGACGAGATGGAACTAAAACGGCATAGTAAATGACTAAACAATGTGTCAAATTAATTGCATACAAATTAATTAAAGAAACACACGCCGACGGTGCTCCCACAATGAACCAAATCTCATCATTATATTTGGGTTGACGGTGACGTGTATTTATTACTATACTAATTAGAATGTGTTAGCTTGCTTATTTTCGGATATACTGATGACCTTACTTTTATGCAAATTGAGAGAAAGCGGAAACGCCGTTATACAGGGTAGATCATTGTGGTATTATCGTTCGTCGCCCTGTACTGAAGTCTAGGTCTAAAAATGCAATTTTATATGACAGGTTTTTTGTTTTACATGCTGAAAAGGAAGATATCTCAATCGCAATCACCAGTACCCGCAAGGATTTTTGTCAGGTGCAGCCAGTCATCGGCAAGAGATAAATTTTTTTGAAGGTGAATCCTCAAAACTGTACACAGAATCATGCTGAATATGCAGGTTTTAAGGACCAACCGGATTTCCAAATGGGCAACATAGCCATCGCATATAAAGATACAATAGTCCTACACCACTGGAAGAAGACCAAATTACTCCACGCACGAAACTCGAAACCATCATTTTTTTCCCGTAAAATTATCGTGCATCGCAATAATTCAATATTTAAATCCAGCATAAATTAATATGCATGTCAATCAGTTGTTTCGGGAGGGGCATTTAAGGATCAACTGGTGAGGTGATTAGGGCTAAAACGTGCACGAAAACGACTGATAATGACGGCTCTAATTTGAGGAGAGGCCCCCATTAAAACCAGCGGAATAAAATGAGAAAAAAGCTGAAACACTCCCGGTTCGAAAAAACAATAATTGCACTTAACGAGCTGAGAAAACGTTTAGCTAATGTGAGCTGTTCTCGAAGAGCTTTTTATAGAGAATAACCGCAAATAGGTATATGTATATTTATATCTTTTTGAAGTCTTCAGTACAAATAGACAACATGCTATTATATTATTATTGCATCCACATATTATGACTGAGGTCAAATAAAAGGCATTGATTTTCGTATTTTACATGAACAGCTGTTTCGTGCTATTTGTCGACTCCTCAGCATGATCAAGGCTTAGTCTCAGGTAGGACAACAAACGAAATCTAAAAACTTACTAGCCATGATTGTAATCAGACCAACGAAAGCTAGGTAGGTATATTACTATAGCTTTTTCGGAAACTGAATATTTAGTTTGATCGATTCTCAAAAACTACAAAGCTTTTACCTCCTTTTTACCGTCCTTATAACAAAATTTCTCCAAAATCCGACTCCCTGTTTTCGAAATTACGGAGCAGTTAATGATTCGTGGTCAGACAAACCGGCAGATATGAGGGATGTCTTTTAGGCTTTGCATATAGAAACAAAAATCAAATCCAAGCGAATAACCAAAATTTCTGTGTTATGTGCCGCGGTTACAGTATGGTTCAAGATGACACATGGGTTGATGACGCAGTTACACGAATCGCTTGAACGCGTTGGTTTTAACCGCGGTTTTGTTCCAAGTTGTTTATTTTAGAAAAGCGCGTGTATAATCTCTGATTATTTTTATTATCACTTAATAATCGGTGCTTTTTCGTCTACAACTGTATATGGAAAGTTTAAATAAGAAACCTTTCATAATATTAATGGGAGAAATGTTTTTTTCAGATTCTTTATTTTAATGATGGAACCATGGCTTTGTAACTACGATTCTCTAAATTTGTCCGCATGTCAAAGAAAACATTTAGTGATTCAGCAGAAATGATGAAAAAAGAAATTAGCAAAACCGTATACAGGTGGATATCATCTAGTGAGTTTATATGGCCATGTTTTAATATTCTTGTGGTATATGGATACACAGGATACTTTGTTAAGCATAGGAACTACATTTAAAAAGTCCCCAACAACCGTAATGAGTATAACTAATAAGGTGCTCCACTTTATGGTAAAACTGAAGTCAGCCTGTATCTTTTTTCTCAAAAATGAAGCTGAAGTACAATAACAATATCCAATACCCGCCAAAATTCTAACTTGTCACATTTCAAATAATAACCAGAAATATAAAACTACTCTTGAGTTGGGTAAATACCACAATTTTGCGGTGATAACTATGATATATAACAGCTGATTCGTGACGTCACGGATCTTATAACCAAACTGATAACTACACTCGCTTGAACGGATTGGTAAATACCAACCCAAAATGGTAAATACTATTTCCATTTGGTTATCCGCTTGAATTTGATTATAGTAGGCCGCGCGGGTCGAACGTCAGTACTGAATCTTAACCTCACTCTTTAGTAAACTTAAATTCAAAATGGAACTCAACCGCGAACATTTTCGCGCCATAATTTATTACAACTTTCAAAGATAAAATTATCGCAACAAGAACACCTTGCTGAGTTACTGTCTGTTTTCGCCAACGAAGCGCCACATCAGGCGACAATTTCCCGTTGGTAGGGAGAATTCAAACGTGGACGGGTGAGTCTTAGCGACGATTCCAGGGTGGGTGCATAAAAAACGGCAGTCACCCAGGAAAACGTCGATGCTGTGCGCAAACTCATCATTGAAGATAGACATGTGACATATCGCGAGATTGAGGCGTCCTTGAAGATCTCAAAGACCTCAATTCAAAAAATTGTACGTGAAGAATTAGGAGTAAGAACATTAGTTTCTCGTTGGATACCCCACCTGTTGACTGAAGAGCAGAAAGCAGCCAGGGTTAATTGGTGTCAAAAAACGTTTGACCGTTTCAATTCCGGAAACTCAAAAAATGTGTACAGCATTGTTAGTGGTGATGAATCGTGGATTTACTGATATGAACCAGGAAATAAACGACAGGTGGCTGTTTGGGTGTTCCAAGGTGAAGAAAAGCCAACAAAAGTCAACCGTTCTCGAAGTGTGAAAAAGATGGTCGCGACATTTGTATCAAAAGCAACATATTCCAACAATTCCTCTTAATGAGCGAAGAACTGTTACTGCGGATTGGTATGCCACCATTTGTTTGCCAAAAGTCTTCACCGAGCTTCGAAAAATCAACCCTCGCATACAGATGTGTATTAATCTTCGTGGAGAATACTTTGAAAAACAATAAGTCATTTGAAACTACCTACCGTGTTGTTTTATTTCCATATGCAAAACTTAAAAGACATCCCTCGTAGACAGACGGACGGATATGACTGCTGTTTTTGGTGATGTCAAGTAGCATCCAAGAAACCTGATACCCCATTTTCCAAATGTTTCGCGATTATAACACTTCCTTCTCAGTTGGCGTAGGTAACAAAAATAATAGAAACCATATTCCAGCAGACCAATCATTTTCCCACTCTATTTTGATTCCCGATTTTGAGGTAATTTGATACCAGCAGCGGAATCTTTCGTATGTCTCTCGAACTAACTCATCTTAATAAAATGTATGATAGAGAAAGCTAATTCGTAGCATGCTGTCATCTGTTGACTGATGTTCAAACTAACAGTATAGAGCCATCTACTGGAAGCAGCAGTCGTTCAGTATTGGAGGAATCTTGATTTTTATAAGATAATAAAATAAAAACAAAATGAAGGAACCGGTAAATATAAAAATACATAAACAGAAAGAAGCAAAATATTTTTGATTCTCCGATTCACAAACAGGAGGGAACGACCCCTTTACGACTTTTCCTGATCGTAAATTCAAAATACCCGACCCACTTTCCTTAAAATTTAAAAATTCCTGTTCCTTGAGGAAAAAAATTATCGAACCGGTTTCCGTCGAAAACAATCTCCCCACGCCCTGCAAAGCACGTACACATACTCTATATCACCTCTTATCACAGAAGCGGCCAGAACTTGAGAAAGTATGAACGCTCTGAAAAAAGTTTTGAGACAGCAGAATTTCCAAAGTATTTATCAGGAGACTGTTAGAAATTTTAGTGCGTCCAGCGCCAGAAAAATGCGATTGGTACAGTATAAATTGAAAAACCAACAGGGTGTACAGCATTTAGGGGCCCAGCTGAGCATAGGTGGTGATATTGTGGATATCAGTGCTGTGGACAGTTCTATTCCGAATACTATGGTAAAATTCTTGAGGGAAGGACCTGGGATGTATGATAAGGCTAAAAGGTAACTTTTTATTCATATTTTTTTGTGTACATATGGCTTATTAGTACAGGGTGGCTAGATAGGATAGACTTATTGCACTATGTACATTGGGCAAATTTGCTGTTTCAAAGTTGAAATTCGAAAAAAAAATAGTCACAGAAAAATGAATGGGCTAACTTGAGTAGGTATAGGCAGGGTGTTAAAATATTTTGAAAAAGTGCACTTATTTTGATTAAGTAGAAACATCACTGTGTAGGTATGTGTTCATAAAGCATGAAAAATTGCTGTAAGTTGTTTTTAATTAATACTAGTCCCAAAAAGTTCAAAAACTAGTATGTTTTTTTTAACAAACTGCTGCTGAAATATTTTTATAAAATTATATTTTGCCATATGGGTCTCTCAAGTTTTCTGAAACAATTGGAAACAAGTTTTTTTTAGGAATTTGGGTAGGAATTTCATATGTTTGTAGGGGTACCCACCATATGGCATAACTGTGTTTGTTATGTTTTTCTTATATGAATGTTTGAATTTTGTGTGGATATAGGTGCACTCATGTTAGTTGGCCTTGAATTTAATACTACTAATGAGAAAGCTATATTATTCCTTATTCTGTCTGTAAAATTTCCATAGCTGCCTTGATTTGTGTGCATTTTAATGATACACAGACATGCATTCAGATAGCAATGGTACCTACTAGGTTATTATTTATTAAATTACCAGGTGAAAAAACAGTTTTAGGTATAATGTTTTGAAAGCAAAACTGAATTATTGGCAACAAAATTGCAAATATGTTGCAGTTTTCCTGGGTTGAAGAATGTTTTACCAGAAAATAGTAAAAAAAATAATGATTATAAATCAAAGTAAGACACTATGGTAGCATATCAACTGTATCCCGGTTCCATAAGGTCTACCTCATGTTATATTCTTCAGATAATATTTGGTTATCCAATTAAAGATATAACTTGATGTAATCATGGATGTAACTGTAAAATATTGAGGCAAAAAACTTTATAATTCACTAAGAAGAGGGGCTTAAATATGTTTTTTGATATCACTGAAGAAAGTGAATATTATGTGTGTCAATTTTGCAAAGGATTTTGTATGGCAATTATATGTTGCAATATGGAGGTTTATTTACTCTGATAAAGTTGATAACAAACATATCTTGTTTATTAGCTGACTTAAAGATATGATACTCAGTATTATACTGAGTAATTAATTATATATGCTAAAAAAAATATGTTTTTTTGTTGAGGAATGTATTGTTTAACAAACACTAAGTAAGGCTATAAATAAAAAAATAATTTATTTGTATTACCAAGTTTGCAGTAATCTTAGAAATGCTCACATATACTCAAATCAATTATGAACATGACATTATAAAGATCTGCTTGAATTAGGAGTATGCAATAACCAAAATTGAAGAAAACACTTCTAAGATCATGAATGGTACAATAATCCAAGAGAAAAAAATACGTTCTACTAGTGTTGACTTTCTGACATGCCACACACTAGCGCCAGAATGTTTCATACATTTTGTGGCATTAGAACTCCAAAACTGTACATCATCTTTGCAGAATTGTGGCTGCTGGCAAATCCATAACACACTTGGCCGATGTAGATCTTCTGTCACCAATCACCAAGCCAGACAAAGTAGTCTGTGTTGGCCTTAACTACAGTGGACATTGTGAAGAGCAGAAGATATCTCCTCCCAGTGAGCCGATGTTCTTCAGCAAATTCTCTTCTGTTATCATTGGGCCTAATGATAATGTTGTTATTCCACCTATCACAAATGTAGGTACAATTCTCTAAATATTTGAATTTAGCAGTGTTGTAAAACATCAGGCATGTCATTCATATATAAAATGAATAGTAATGGTCCTAATTTGCTACCCTGTGGGACACCTACTGAAATATTTTTAATGCTTCCATGTAGTATTACTAAAAACTAAATTGAGCTTATGAACACTAGAACTCAGATTTTTTTCAGAGTGTTGACTGGGAGGTAGAGCTGGCAGTGATAATAGGCAAACAGGCAAAATGCATTAGAAAAGACCAAGTGCAGGACCATATTTTTGGTTACACTGTGGCTCAAGACATCAGTGCAAGAGATTGGCAGAAAAGTAGGAACAATGGACAATTCCTATTGGGCAAGTCCATGGACACTTTCTGTCCATTGGGTCCAGCTATTGTTACCAAAAACAAGGTGAATCCCAGTGACTTGGCCATCAAGTCATGGGTGAATGGGGTATTGAAGCAAGATGGAAATACCTCAGAGCTGGTTTTCAAGATTGAATTTTTGGTCTCCTATTTGTCACAGTAAGTTGACTTGATAAACGAATTTGTTAAAAATAACGTGAAATGAGAATGTTAAAATATAAATTGGAATTTAGAGTCATTAAGACCCGATTTTACTAATGGATCTATAAAATATAGTAGCTAAACCAGGTGATTTATAAACTATATCCTGATTTAGTATGGGTCAATAGTAGAATCAGCTCTAAGTCATTTAAAAAAATGCTTTGAAATTTATGTGGTTGCCTTTTATATTTTTATCAGGATTGTGACTCTGTACCCTGGTGATGTCCTCCTCACTGGTACTCCTGCAGGCGTGGGGGTGCACAGAAATCCCCAGAATTCCTAAAGTCAGGAGATCTGCTCGAGAGTGAAATTGAAGGAATTGGAAGATTGCAAAACAATATTGTGTAAAACCTTTTTTTTATATTTGATATACTACAAATACAGATATTTTTACAACTCATTGTGTTCCATTCACGTCTTTGTGATAATAAAGAATTTTCAACCAAAACTATTGTTCTTCTTTGGGGAAATATGGCCTAGGTTTCATAGCGGTGATAGGAAACTCTTCCCTTGTATGGTAAGGCTCATAAGGGTCATCAACATAGTACTTTGGCCTCCGCCAGTATTCCCCGACCATTTTGTCCAACATATAGCTTTGAGTTGCGTTGCAGAAGACGTGCTGCCTCAATCTACGCTTTCTTGCAGATGACTTCTTCCACAGTTTCCTGTGTCTGCCAGCCTTTGTCCTGATCCAGATGCCCCAATTCAGCCTGTAGAATCTTTTTAGGGCTTTCTTCTGAGATTTCCTTTTGCCCTTTCTGAACGAGTATTTAGTCAACGTTCTAGTTATTTCATTGCTGATTTGAGGTAGGGGTTGCAGCAAAGGTTTCTGTTGTAGATTAGAGGTTACGATTGAGCACAAACTTCTGTTAGATTGAGGAAGTAACTGCGACACTGTTGGTTTGGGAATGGTGTTTATAAGACATTTTGAGGCCGATTTTGTTGATAAAATTGCAAATCTAGCGGCAGAAACGGCGAGTGTTTTGAACATTTTTTTAAAGGTTAACAGATGACATTTGCTCATGTACATATGACAGAATGATACACTTCAAGTGTAACATTGTTACAGGAACTTGCAGCAGATGAAAAATTAGTTAAGCTATATCCCCTTAGATAGCGCTTCACTATCGATACAAGTGACATCTGTACGTCAATTGCCTAATTATTTTACAAAAATCTACAGTGAAATACAGCTTGGAATACGCCTCATAGATGACACTACTACTGTTATAGAAATCTACGCCGAGTAAATGTGTAATTTTACGTAAAGCCCTTGGATGTCACTACATGAGAAAATCAATGAGGTGCAAAACCTAACCAGACAGCAATATGAAATGTATAAAATTTCAGGGCCCCAGTAAAGATAACATGGCCACGCAAGACAACTATTGAAATATACTCTAGTATTTCTCGAAATCGTTGCACACCGCTTGAAAAATGCAAATGAAGATTGGAAAACTGCCGCTCTGACGTACGGGATAGACATACGATCTATCATTCCTTTCACCTAGATTGCGCCGTTGCTAGCTCATCGGACAATTTTGATACCTCTGCTATCCTACTAGAATGTTATAAAAAAAGAAGCTTTGGATAAAATATTGAGGGATACCAATGGAGATTTTTCAGAAATGAATTAGGTACATAAGAATACTTACAAGAACGTTAGAGTAGTGCGCGTTTCTGTAAATGTATTTTAAATAATGTATTACAAGGTGGCCAAGATAAGGAGCAGACTAGGTTAAATTCAATAATCACACAAACTTACATGAAGCATTTGCTTGCAACTCATACGTGACTAAAATGAAAAAATAGAAAAAAAAACACGTTTGCGTATAACTAAAAAAAACAAATGTAACGTGATACATCGTTCAAGTCGTAGAACATCTTTTTCTGTTAGATACAGTGTCGTCCTTTTTTTAAATGCTGTACACGTCGGGCACATTTAAAAACAACAACCCTAACACACAAGTAGATGCGTATGCAAGGCTCACCTGCCGAGAGATTGAAGCGTGCGAGTGCTGAACCTTACTACGGCGATCAACGTAAACATCGAGTCGCTTCGGGAGCAGACGCGCGGAGTGGGAGCTGGAAAGGGGCGTGGCTGTACTACCCGGCCGTACCGTATCGCCGCAGCGACGTACAGCCTTCACACGGTTCAGTCTCTCGGCAACCACCGGCGCAGCGGAATGTCTACGCGTTCACAACTGCGTACAGAGCTCTATTCGGCTTACTTTTTTTAGTAGTGGTGTTCACTATGGAGATCGCGATTGTGTCTCAGTGGTGCTCTAGTGCTGTGACGTGGGTGTCTCCAAAATTGAAATTAGGTCTACTTCCAACTCTTCTGAGGGAAACAGGATACATGTGCCGCAAACTAGGTGAGCCTTGCATACTCATCTACTTGTGTGTGTTAGGGTTGACATCCTATGTTTTTTAAGTAAATTGCGCACATTCCATACACTGAGAGGTTAGTCATATACTGAGGTATTTGGGAAAAACTAAAATTTGGCCAAATCGTTTTTATTGTTGTCTGACTTTATTTTAAGAAATGTCATAAAATTAACAATAAAGTAGAACGACTGAGCTGCTTAGTTGGATTATTGATTTGAGAATAAAGCATTGTTGGATTTGCCGTTCGTTTTTTTTTTCTTTATGGAATAGATGTGACTACAGTTGTAGTCAGCATTCTTGGCGGATCAAAGTAAGACTGCCAATATTCCTTTATATATCTCCATCTTCCTCGTACATACATATGCAAAGTCGTGACGCATGAGTGCCCTTCAATAATATTTGTCAGAGTGACAAATTACTTGACATCGGCGTGCAATTCGAGTTGTCCTGTTGTCAATATTCAATATAAAATTGTATAATGCCTGGAAATCTGATCAACTGAGAAGGCCGACAGCTCGTACTAAAGTTATCAGAGCCAGAGAAGAGAATGAAAACAGCTGTCCTCTGTTACTTACTTCATGCGTAATGGAGTGATTAGCAGATGCGTCGTAGATTAGTCTGCGCAGTGTTACGCTCGGCCCATGGTACAGAGACTCGATCTGTTTACTTATTTCATATAGCTTTGATGACGTAACCGCCAAGAGCGGAGATTACAACTATTGTCTGTATCGGGTACAACCTCTTTGAGCAATCTAGTGACTTTTGCAGTGATGCCACCATGAAAAAGTTTCGCGAATAACCTCAAACTTCATAAATTAAAACAAAAGATATCCTTTCCTAGACTTTGACAAGTTCGAAAAATAACATCCAAGACGACCTTTCAACCTTGCAGATACTCATCGATCTCGAAAAAATTATCAGTGGTCCTAAAATCCACGAGAATTTTTGGCAAATCTAAAACTTAAAACCCCAGGTATCACCCCATATTCGACCGTGTGATATGACGGCCCGATACATTTGAAAGTCGGGGCTTTTCCTAATACATTTTCAGTTCCCTTTCGCCCCCCAAGTGGCTGTTCCAAAAATGTTTAGAATGTTATTGAAAGCACCACTCAAAAAAACGATATGGGCAAGTACTTAATATATCTTTTAAGTAGATTTTTCAATTAACCTGTTATGTCATCAATGTTGATGCTTTGGTCACTGATAAAATAAGATGTATAGCTGAAATACATACGGAAACATATTAGACAATTCACCTATTGATTTACCTATAATACTCTGATGAAATACTCTATCAAAATGCTTGCAGTTTTATCCTAACCTGCATTTTAAAATCCATTTCATACTACAGGAGAATCTGATTAAAATCTATCTATAATCTTAAGTATATTTTTGTAGACAAAACTTCCATCTTCAACCCTAAGCACAGTAACCTGTCGCACTTTGTACAGTCAAAATGTAGTGCAATATCAGGACAAGCTAAAAAAGCAGCAGAATCATGTTCAACAGTTGCAAATAGTTCGAAATAGTAGCAGCCATCATCAGAAATCATCAGGCGGGGGTGGAGGTGGAATTCTGCTTGCTGTGGGGGCACTTCTTGTCAGTGGGGGTGCAGCACTTGTCTATGCCCACTATGACCCTGACTTTAGGAAGACACTCACCGAGTAAGAATACCTAGTTTGAATTTGAATATTCCTGTGTATCAAACAGTTTTCACTATTTATCTATTTATTTCCTCTCAACAAAAAACATTTTATAGGAAGAGTCAAACATTTGCAACTTGAATCTAAAAAAACCCACATCTAACAAAAAACAGTCAAATAGTAAAAAATAAGATTTAACAGCATAAGTAAAATGAATAAAAATCTTTTAAGACATTCTTGAATGTATTTAAACAGTGGCAATTCTTTATTTCCAAAGGCAGTAGGCTAAGTAATTTTAACCAATTAATATTTTGAGACACTTAATTTTTCTGTAGGATGGTATCACTAGAAAAACTTGAGTTTTGTCAAATATATGTCATTAAAAGTGAATTTCAATAATATAGAATACATGAATTGATGTATTTATAAAAACATTTTTCTGGATGTTTCAATTTTGACTTTCACTAAATGGGAGCAAATAATGGCACTTAGAAAGAAAAATCCAATAAGATATTCATAATTAAATGTGCAGTAAAAAATTGTCATGTACTGAAGGAGAACAGCATTGTTACTGAAACATGTACATTGAAGAGGAATTTTAAACACATCATACAAAACCATGATAAAAATTAAAATATTTCTGAAATGTTCTACAGGCTAGTTAAAGAGACACCATTATAAAATTTTATGTGAAATTTCTAGTGATCCTACGCTAGTTTAATCTCCTGTAACTCTAAAAGTCAATGAACCTTGAGTTAGCACTTTAAAACTCCATATTCTAGCTAGTGGACTTGATCACTGTACTGTGAACTTTTATCATAATTTTTTGTTTTGTAGTTATGTACCTATAACGGATGACATAATCAAGAGGTTATTCCAAGAAGATGCCAGTGTGAATCAAGGCAACATCCTTAAAGAAGGATATGACAGTCTTAAGACCTCAGTGGTAGGATTGATTGGAGGTGATCAGCAGTCTAAGGCTAAAGGCGGAAAAATACCACCTCCTGAACCACAAGAATACAAAGGTGAGTAGTTAAGAAATTGCTTGAACATTCAACTATAACTTGTATTTGTAATAATTCTGTTATTGTTAAAATAATACAACTTGCTTGAATTGATTCAAAAAATAATTGTTTCAAGCCTTGAAAAAACAAAAATTAATTCTGCTTTTCATCTAATATTCTGCAAACTTAACAAATATTCAGCGTCCCATTTTAATCTCCAAACTTAAATGTTTCTAAAACTGCTCATCTTAGAAATAAAGTTCCGAACAAAAGGTGTAAAATTTTGAGGGGGCAACATGGTGGTGATATTGACAATGATCTTGTCTACGATCTTCACGGTCAGGCGAATATTTTCAAATGGAAGCCCCCCTTTTTCACATCACCTTCATATGCAAAATTTTCTGCTTTTTCCATTTCCAGTATAAAAATGACAAGTTTCCTTTGGAAATTTTGACTTGACCTTAAACCGCTTGGTCAAGGTCACCTTTGGTAATCCCAACAAACGTCACAACAATTTTACCAGAGCAAATTGTTTGCAACATCTTGAGTTGACCTTGAGCGTCCTTTAAGGTGACGTTTGGACGTCAAATTTGCTCTTCTTTTCAAATCTGATGTGAAAACGTGATTATATCTTTTAAGGCCTTTGTGTAAATTGTCGGGAATGCTTTGGAAATTGGTATTTAGTTATTTATGGAGAGCTATTGAAATGCTTTGAAAATGTAGTATTCCATAATTTAGCTGGGAATCCAAACATGACCATCCTCGTCAAATCTACTGGAAATCCTATAAAGCACACGTTTAGTCCCACCAACTTTACTTCTTATAAAATACATACCTGGAACACCTTTTGTTTATTCTTTCAATAATTCATTCCATAGATTTGGTCGGTCTTTGAACAAAATATTCAGCATTGCTTTTCAATAGTTCGCCACAAATAACTAAATAATAGTAACAATTTGCAACAGATTCCCGACTATTTACACCAAGGATTCAAAAGATATAAATGAAAACAGTGGAGCTAATTTACTTTGAACTAAATGACAATCCATGTGTGTTGGTCCTCTGACCAATAGGAGGAAATGTCCAAGTCACATATTTGAAAATAATCTCAGTGTTACTTTTCATATTTCTACTCATTACACTAACAACATTTCTTTTCCTTCTGGATCAAATTATATCAATTACTGTCTGCATTTTACTCTAATGTCAATCAGAAGTGTTGAGAATTTCACCCAAAGCAGGACCATCTAATTCTAAAATTTCATGTCATTTGTGTGACTAACAAAGTGTTGTTTTTTTTCTAATAATCTATTCTAGCTCCCCCGCCAATAATACCAATACTAGAGAAGGAAGCAGATAAAAAGAAGCAAGAACCAACTTATGCTGAGATTAGATTAGAGAAAGTTGAAGGAAAAGGACAAGAGCCTGTTGTTGAGCTTGGTATTAACATATTTCTCTATAAAATACCTGTTTTATATATTTTCCAACACATTTACCTATGTCAACTGCTTCCATGGTATAATCATGGATTATTTTGAAAATCTGGGAGTACATTCTGGATAACCCTGTTCTGAGTCGCCGATTTTCCGGAATCCTGTATACACATCAAATCAGATTATATCTTTATTTATGTATGAATATGGAATCTTTCAACATAATTTTCACTAATTTCAAGAAGTCTGATTAACTTGAAAATTTGCACAATGGTTAAGGGCCGATGATTTTACAAGAATTTTGAGGAAAAATACGAATTTGAAAATTGAATTTTGAAAAAAAATTGATATGAAAATTTGGAAAATAATTTGGGAATTTTGAAAAAATGGACATTTCGCAATTTGAAAAAATTCAGAAATAAATTACATCTATTGTAAAATATAAAATATACCAAAAATCGGAGCTGTTGATTATAAGTACATACTTTTGTTGCCGTTTTGAGAAAATTTAGAAAATAAATTAAAGTTGAAAAAATTTTTGTAAATAGCAAATAAAAAAAAATACTATCAACCATCCCACGTTTTCACTATAATTGAATTTTTTGTTAATATCTTGATTTTCATATTGACCTTATTCCAACCCAAATTCTCCGATACTTGAAAACTATTCTCTACTTTTTAGTTCGATTTACTATTAAGGCATGTGCACTTTTTTCAAGCGATAATTTATTTGCATTTTATTTTCTAATTAATTTTTTCTGTAGTTGGAGATGTGAAACCACCCAAAGAAGATGTAGCACATGACGAAGATGTCGGTCAATTAGCAGAACTAGAATTAAAAATAGGCAAATCAGCAGAAGAGGCCGTGAACGCCTATAACAACGCTGTGTATATATTGAAATTGTACAATGCAGACATTGAGAACATTATCGATGAAGTAAGTTTTTACCTAGTATGCCCGTCTTCAAATCTTATGGGATCCTTGAAAGGCTCACATAAACACGGGATTTTAAAAAAACCCATAAAAAAGGACATTTGAAGGCTTAATTTTTTGTAGGCTGTGAATCAAGTGAATCCAGATGTTTGGGACGAAGTGAGAAAAAAAACTAGGAGTAAGACAGAATGTTTGAAAAGAGCACAGGAGAAAGCCGAACAAGCTACTAGGGATATAAATAAATTAAAGGCATTAGTATCTAGGTGAATAAAAAATATTTTATTGTAATTTTTTTCTTACGAAAAATACACATTTATTTTCAGTCCAAAATTTCAAGCAGACAGCACCACAAAGACTATGATCAAGAACAATATTTCGAAAGTACAAGATGACATTGTCAGAGCAAGAAGGGACATGGAGAATGAAATAAAGAAAGGAAGTGTTGCTGAAAAATACTGGGAGAAAGGTAAGATTTTTCAAGTATAATATCTATACTAGTATGTGTATTAAAAAACAACTGTGTCCTCAAAATTTCAAGATTGGGCTTGGGCTCCATTTTGGAACATATTTTAAATGGAATAAGAGCTGCTGTAATACCTTATTTTAAAGCCCCCATATAACTAGTTTATAACTTTAGAACATAAAATTAATAATCTCCAAAAGGGTTGTAAAGTTGCTTGTAACAACGGTCATTCATAAACATGCTACAAACATGTTATATAATTGTTTCACCCATTCCACTTCAAGCCAAACTAATACTATATTTGCGCCTCCTAAAAATGATCAGAGATGAAATGAAACACCTGTAAGAATTTTATAGATAAATATGGTTTATTGGCTGAAGAATACAATCATCCTTAATGACACAGCTAACTTATGTTTAAGTTTATTAAATCATTAATTCAGGCTAAGAGTACAATCGGACGTAATACTGATCCTTGAGGTACTCCTGCGTTTATATCTAATCTATTTTAAATATAATAACTTGATAATTGTACAATTTGGGATCGATTCTTTAATATGTTTTTTTTAATAGTTTACCAAGTCCAAAGCTTTGAAAAAGTCGCAAAAAAGAGCTATTGAAATTTGATTATCATTTAAATTTGAGTATAACTATTTGATATAATATGAAGATAGCATCCACAGTATTTTTTTCTTTTTGAAATCTAAATTGGTTCTCACTTATAATTTTGTTGTTGTTTTTAAAAAGTCTATTTTTTCTATGATTTTTGCTATAACAATAATTAAACTTGTGGACTTATAATTTTCTGGTAAATCGCTTGGACCTCCTTTATGAATATAAAAATCCTGGGTAAACACCTGTGTTCAGAGAAATATGTTTTTTGAGTGTATCCAGAGCATCAAGTGAAAGAGTAACTATAACAGCTATATTTTTCTTCTCAACAATAATTGAAGACTTTGGTGCAAAAAGGTCAATTTTTTCGGATGTCAAAATTTGTATTGCAAAAAGGTGTTAAAAGGGTAGTGGTAGTACATCTAACTGGTCAGAGATGGCTCTCAGTCCTTATATACAGAGATTCATAAAAGTGTTAACTATATCAAAAGCTTCAATCTGTAAACTTTAAAAGGTGTTAGTTCTTGCATTATAGTGTTAACTCGTTGTTGTTAACACCTTTTTGGTCTAAAATTTCAATGTGTTTACATTTTTACAACATTTGGACTGCTTTTTTAAATGAATAAGTTATGTGAAGTTTCAGTATTTTATTAGCGTGTAATATTATATAACAAAATGAATTCAGTTTTCGTTTAAAATGTAAAAATGAGATTTTTAAAATTGCAAAGCACACAACCTCAAATTTCTGATAATAAAAACAATTTTTTTAACAAAACTGTCTATTCGAGATACTTTTATGTCTGTCTAAAATAACTTTCAATAATAAAAGCAGCCCTAACACAATTCAATAAAAAATGTCAAGATTTAAACTTTGAGGCCAATTATCTCCAAACTATAAAATGAGAGTTAACACCTTTTTGCACCAAAGGTTTCAATTAGGAATCTACTTTGAAAAATAAAAACGGTGGACCATTTTGCAAAGCACGTTCTGTCAGCATCCTAAATAAATATTGCTATTCGGCTGATAATCCGGTCCCTGTCTAATCCGGCGCCCCCTGTAATCCGACATGTCTTTGAATATGTATTTGACAATCTTCGCTAATGCAGATCACGCAGCTTGGAACAGGTTACAACTTGTACGCGCCACCGCTATCGTACTCGACGCGTAAGCATTGTTTTACTTAGTTTCAATTTGACTACTGGTGGTAGCGGTACGGCCTAGCGTGCGTTCATTGTTTACTATTTATTCATTGTGTATTAAGTATAGTACCTAGTAATGTCATCACAAACTCAGAAGCGAAAGCACAAAACATTGACAATTAAAGAAAAATGTGATATTTTAGACCGCTTAAATCGCAATGAAACTTTCAGGACCCATGTTGGCCATGAAAGCTAAGCTTTTTTATAAGGAAAAGATGATTTTGTGGCCAGCAAAGGATGGCTAGAACGTTTTAAAAGTCGTCATGGCATACGTTTAATGACTATTACAGGAGAGAAAGTTTCTAACGATGCCACCTGCATGAAGCCCTTTAAATTAAGATTTTTGCAAAAGGTGACCGATTTAAATCTTGACCCGTCACAGGTGTACAATGCAGACGAATCAGGGCTTTTTTGGCGTGTGATGCCTAACAAAACTTTCGTTTCTTGTAACGAAAAATCCGTACCTGGACGGAAAGTAAGTAAAGAGCGTCTAACCATACTACCATGTCCTAACGCTGCGGGCACACATGCGCTTAAGATGATGGTCATTGGGAAATCTAATAAACCACGGGCATTCAAAAACATTGATTTACCTGTACACTATTACGGACAAAAAAGTGCATGGATGACAAAAGACCTTTTCAAAAAGTGGTTTGATGAATGCTTCGTACCTGAAGTTAGAAAATGGTTAAAAGATCATAATTTTCCTCAAAAAGCGTTGTTGCTTCTTGATAACGCTCCCCGTCATCCGTCTGAAGAAGACACTAACAACTGAGGATAAATGCATCACTGCGATGTTTCTTCCGCCAAATTGTACTGCACTGGTTCAACCAATGGACCAGAATATCATTCAGTTTGTCAAGCAAGACTATAAGAAAAACCTACTTCTGAGAGCCGTATCAAAAGACCAACCAATAGAAAAAACTTTATAAGAATTTAATATGAAAGACTTGGTTTTTGCTCTTTGTCAGTCGTGGAATGCGTTACCGTCATCGACTATTAAATCGTCTTGGAAAAAGTTATGGCCAGATACGTATAGTCACCACTCCTAGCAACGTTCCACAAATCAGTGTTACTTCGGAAGTTATAGAACAAGTCGCTACTGAAACACAGATAAGTCCGGAAGATTTGGAAATCAGGTGCCGTGGAATAGATAAAGAGGAAAATGTTTTTCATGAAATGTCTGACGAAGAGATTATAAAAGAGGTTTCTAATTATACAACAAACAATCAGGAAAATAACGGCGACGTGATTGCAACTGCTCCAGAAGTCACAGCACAAGACGCAATTAACGCCTTTGAGCTAGGTTTACAATGGGCTGAAGAGAATGGTACATCCTACAACGAATTTTTACTTTTGAGAAGACTGAGGGACAAAGCTCTGAACTCGCGTTAACACGTTCACTGCGAAAGACGCTGATCCGCGTCCGACCGATGTTTAACGAAAGGCGGCGGGCGCGGATCCGCGCTTCTGGCTGATATAAACTCACAAGACTGTGGTGTTGTCAGTTTGTACCGCACTCGCTTTCTGTTTGATCACCTACATATTGAACATCTTTTTGGACTATTTTACGCGTAGGATCAAGTTTCGTTTATTTTTACATTGCGCAATGGCGGATGATGTGGAAGCAGGTTGTTCACGTCCAAAACGAGTGAAAACGTATTGTAACCGTAATAAAGGGCTTACAGAAAAAGAACTGTATGATATTCTTGCCAATTCGGGGAGTGAAATCGAGAATCTAAGTGACTCAGACAATTATGTTCCCAGTTCAGATGGAAGTGAGCAGTCTGATGGAAATATGTTTGAAACGAGTGATTATTTTTCCAGCCCACAGAAAAATCTTTAATAGGGTTTCAAGACATGTTTCGTGTTACTGCACGAAAAAAAACGAGATAGAAGAAGAAAATGTATATAATAATAATAATAATATTTATTTACTCTAAAATACAGGGAACATGAAACGAGTAAATAAATATAATATATCCATAGGAGGACAACGCCTGTGCATGGATCATATGTATGTTGAATTGCAAAATATAATAAAATAGAGAGAAAAAACAAAATTATTGGTAAGAATGGTAGAGCATTTATTGTGTAATATTTGAGATTATTTTATTAATTTAATTTCTCCCAATCGTGTTAATAAATTTTTTTAATTTTTTTTTTAAGCCTAATGTATTGCCTAATTTTTTTAAATTATTTGGTAAATGTTCGTACAATTTTGGAGCTATATACAGGTGACATCGTTTCATTAGGGATTTGTTTGGTTTAGGAACATTTTTTGCGCGTAATTTATATCTGGTTTTATGATTATGTTTAATTATGTCGTGTTCACTAATAGTTTTGTGATAATGAGTGATGGTATGTAAGAAGTAAAGTTGTTTAGTATCATATACTTGTGCATCATTATATAAGTCATTAGTTGGGTATAATTTTGATTGGCTAACATTGATTTTAAAATTCTTCTTTGAAGTACATCTAAATCGTTAAAGTATGTCGTGCATGCAGCACCCCACACTACTATACCATATTTTATGTGTGGCTCGACTAAAGCTTGATATATTATTCGTAGATAATATTCAGTTAATATACCGGTTAGAAATTTTATTTTATATGCTATGAATCTAATTTTCTTTAGTATGTGAGAAATATGTACAATGTACATCCCATCTCAAGTGGGGATCTAGATAAATTCCTAAATATTTTGTATCATTAACTCTATTGATTTTTATATTTTTATCATTTACCTTAAACCGAAGGTGGTTATATTTTGGTAGATGATTAGATAGTGATGAAAATGGTAAAAAATGAGTTTTAGTAAAGTTAATTGTTAATTTTCGGTTATTAAACCACTGAATAATTTTGCAAAAGTCATTTTGAATAATATCTTTTAAGTCGTTCCAATCCTTACCTTTATAGAGTATAGCAGTATCGTCTGCAAAACTGACTATTTTACCAGTACTGTTAATTTTGAATATATCGTTTAAATAAATATTGAATAACAGAGGACCCAAAATTGTACCTTGTGGAACACCACATTTAACAAACATTTCTTTACTATACGAGCTTAATAATTTTACTGATTGCGGTCTATTTGATAAATAATTTTCCATTAAAGTATACATCTTTCCACGAAAACCTATTCTTTCTAAGATTTCCAAAAGTATATTGTGGTTAACTGTGTCAAACGCTTTTTGTAAGTCACAAATACGCATATCGATGGTACTTTTCCATCTATATTTTGGGTTATTTCATCTACTATACTTAATACCCCATCTGTTGTAGATTTGCCCGCTATAAAACCATATTGATTTGAATTTAGAATTTTGAATTTATTAAGAAAATTAATCATTTTATTAAGGAGTAATTTCTCAAAAACTTTAGCTAAACTTGATATAAGTGAAATAGGTCGATAGTTAGTGACGTCCGTATTATCATTAGATTTATAGATAGGTATGATGATTGCTGTCTTGAAAGCTGATGGAAATACTCCAGATTGGAAGGATTTGTTAATGATATAAGCAAGTGGTTCTGTTATTTGTTTAGCCAGTATCTTTAGATGTTCAGCTCTAATTTCGTCAACTCCAGGGCTTTTTTTTATTTTTTAGAGTCATAATGGCATTGAAAACATCCTGATAGTCTACTTCAGTTAATACAAATGAATTATTCAGTCTTGTTTCATGCAGATGAATATCAGCATTTTGTTTGATATTATTTGCTAAGTTTCCTCCTATATTCGTGAAAAATTATATGAAATAGTTTTCAATTACACAACGCACATCCAATAGGCTTACGACGCGAATCCGCGCTTCGCTTGTGCAGCGCCTAAAATCGTTTAGCCGCTACCGTGCGCGCGGCGCGAGGCAGGTCGCAGCGAACGTGTTAAAACAACCTTAAAAAAAATTGATGAATATTTCCAAGCTTCATAATTTGATAAATTCATTAATGATATTGATTAATAATTCTTTGGTACATATGTATGTGCATTTATGCTTAATTTTATAATAAAACGTAATCTCTCTATTGTTATTTAATTTACTAAATTCGACATACATAAACTATGTATGATTTGTACTTCAAAGTACATACATATACATAACATATATAATCTTACCATTGGATATGTAATTTGTCGGATTACATGGTACTCTTTTGTAAAAACTTCCGGACTATAGGGGGTCTTAGGCAGTGCTCTATAATCCGACAAATTCGATAGTCCGACACTGCCCTGCATAATGTTTGTCGGATTACCGGAGGTCAACTGTAAAGAGTATTTAAATAATTCTCCTCCGACGTACGGATTTCGAAAGCGTTTCCACAACCACGTTTTGTTTCCATAGTGGAGAAAGCCCGGCAGCACTTTGCCGAAGAACTGGAGAGCATGTTCCCAGGTATCGATCTGAGCAAGCGGCAGCTGCACGTAGACGTGGAGGACCTGGACCTGTTCGTCCTCCACGCATACCATAACGTCATTTTTTACCAGAAGGAGCTGTCCAAGATGGAGACCATCATGCAGGAGCGCGTCAGGCAAGCAGTGGAGGCGGCGAAGAAAGGGGGCGGCGATCCGTTGACCAGCGCGCAGATCTGCGAGGCTGTCGAACAAGAGAAGAGGCGGTTGATGCTTTGTTTCCAACAGAATGTAAGATGATACACTGAGAATTTGTACATGTACTCTGACTTATCAGCATCGTCGAGAACGAGTAAATCAACGCACAAATTTAAATAATATTAATGTACAGCCAAGAAGAATTCTTTTCGTAACGTTTCTCGTAGTCCACAAAGGGCAAACTATCGGAATATTATTTAAAAAAGAATAAAAAACAAGCAAGTAATGATAGAGACGTGAAAAATTAAACTTTCTTCCCTCTCACAATGATTCTTATTTTTTTAATGGATATATTCGAATCTTTTTTAAGCATATCTACAGGGTGACTTCGAAGTTGAGTCATTTATTTTAACAGTGAGTAGATCTGATCAAAAGAAATGTTTTTTTCCTTTAACATTTTTCTGGTAAAATTAAAGTAACATAGTTATAGCCCTTTAGAAGTTTGAGTACCGCCCTGTCTCAATAATATTATGTGCTCGTGTTTGGCAACAACGAATATAATCCGCCTTATCGGAAACAAAAAAGCGAAAGAATGTGAAACGCTTATCACGATGTTTTTACTACAATTTTATTCAGTTGTATTCAGTCAATGTGTCAGTCGGTAACGCGTGAGTGAATAGTGGTGTTTGTTGCGTGCCTTAAACGAAATAAAAAATGGCACATGTTTACAAAATGCTGCCGCGGCATCACGCATTTATGCGGATCGGTTTCCCAATCGAGTGCAACCAACCCCTCGTGCCTTTGTCACTGTAGTACAAAGGGCTCGTGAATCAGGTGACTTAAGACCTCACAGGGGAGGGCTTGCCGGTGCTCCAAGACCGCACGATCAAATACAGGTCCGCACTGAAATACTTGTCGGGAGGATACTTTATAAAACAAGGTAACATTTTTTTTATTTTTTTTTTATTTTGGTTTATCTTCCTTCTACAATCATTATCTGAAAATTAATGACTCAACTTCAAAGTTACCGTGTAGATTGATTTTTATTCAAGACATGCATATTTTATAAATGTTTAATAGTTTTTATATGAAAACAAAAAATATTGAATATATAATTTAATCCGTCATTGCAAAAACCACCAAATGTCCATTTTTTGCAAACATCCTTTTTTACTGAAAATGCTTCATTAAAGGTAGATGCGTTTTATGGATAAACACCTCATAAGCCACTACGTGGTTTTTGCACGCACTTCTTGAATGGGTCATTTCAAAAACAGTACCAGTATCCCTGAATTATGCTATATGCACCAGAATATAAATTTTAAATTTACTCACTGCAAAAATAAGATTACAGGCCTTGTTCTCTTTGCCCGAAATTCTGAAATGCTGTAAGATTTTGTTGGTGGATGTTTGAAGAATATAAGGCACATTGGCAACAAAATTTTCATATTTTTTTGCAGGGCCGAAAATAATATATTTCGCATTTTTTCAAATATTGCATCGTTCAATCTCGAAAACTATCAACTTTAGGGAAACGTTCTAAAACCCCTTTTTTCTTTAGAATGCCCCAAAATCCCTAAAAGCACTTTGACCTGAGCGAAAAAAATAATTTTTGGAATTAGCCTAAAAAAAATTCTTCGAAAAAATTTCGACGCAAATTTGATCGCGGCAACATGCAAATTCGTTAAAAAGTGCCCTTTGTGAATAAGATTCTGTTAAAAATACGAATCAGAATATTTTTCCCATCAGATGCGAAAATATTGAATGACCTATTACACTTTTTTGGCGGTTCCACCTTTTTTCACCGTTTCTTTTAAGATTAGATCTACAGATGGTGATACTAGGAAAACGGAAGAAATGATTCTCTCAGAAAATTTACATCATGTAATATTTTTTTAATTTTCTTTGTCATACTTTGGTATAGTCTGCGAAAACCAAATGTTCGCCAATTTTGGCCTTAAAAACAAGATTGAAATCGCTTTAAAATAAACTAATTCCAAAATACTCTTCTAGGTCTTGTAGAGCAAGGTTTTACCTTAAATTTAGGTACTTGGCGATCTCAAAAATGACAATTTTTAACCGAGTTTTGTAGCATTAAATATTCCCAGATCAATTTCAATCATTTTTTTTAATATATGGCAACTTTTTTCACTTTCAATTTTTTCTTAGGTTTTTTTAATCATTTCGAAGAGATTAGGCTTTCATTAACTTTTCTCTAAAGCCGAGTGTTTTCGCTTTATAAGCTTTTTAATGTCTGAAAAGCACCAAAAATTTAGATACTTGGCGATCTCAAAAATGACAATTTTTAACCGAGTTTTGTAGCATTAAATATTCCCAGATCATTTTCAATCATTTTTTTTAATATATGGCAACTTTTTTCACTTTCAATTTTTTCTTAGGTTTTTTTAATCATTTCGAAGAGATTAGGCTTTCATTAACTTTTCTCTAAAGCCGAGTGTTTTCGCTTTATAAGCTTTTTAATGTCTGAAAAGCACCAAAAATTTAGATACTTGGCGATCTCAAAAATGACAATTTTTAACCGAGTTTTGAAGCATTAAATATACCCAGTCAATTTCAACCAATTTCCTTGAATATATTGCAACTTTTTTTCATATAAAATTTTTTATCTGGTTTTTTGAGTCATTCCGAACACTAAAGGGTTTCTTTCATTAACTTGTCTCTAAAGCTGACCGTTTTCGCTGTATAAAGGCCTAAAAAATGGGTATATTCAATTCTTAAAAATCATAGTTCTTGAGGTCGATATGTGCCTAAATTAAATTTAAAACCTTAATCTCCAAGACTTTGAAGAGTATTTGGAGTTTACTTTATTTCAAAGCGATTTTCAACTTAGCTTGTAAGGCCAAAATTGACGAACTTTTAATTTCCGCAACCTGTAACCTTATTCCCTCTCAAATTGCTTATTAGTTTTGTAAGATGGAAACTATCGTAGACCTGTGGAATCTGTCAAGGCCAGCTGTGAAAATATTTTGTAAATAACAAGACCTGAAAAAATCAAGCAACACCTGACCGATGAATACTCACAAAATTTCTATTGTTATGTTGAAAATTTGATATTTTTTCTGAAGTATGAGGCATTCAGCGCCATAAAAATTCTCACTTTCAAAATAGGCTTTGAGGATGAAAAGGGAGCACGAGCAGGAACTTCGCGAACAACTGAAGTTGCAGTCGCAAACTTTTAACGATCACCTAGCAGATGCCATCAGGACCAGGGAAATGGAAATTGAAAGAGCCTTCTCGAGGAAATTCGATGAAATGTTAGAAGAGGAAAGGTGTAGATTCAAATTGCAACTAGCTGCTATTGTCGGAAGGTTGAAGGGCTTGGATCAAGCCATCAAGGGTAAGTTTGAGTATACTATCCTTACTCTTGAATAATTTTTTATCATAGTCTAAGAATCTTGCCATCCAATGGATGTGCAACATTGTGTCTCAACCGTTTTTTAGTTGCGACCCAATTTTCACCGATTTTATATATATGATCGTATTTTAAGTTTTACTACGATCTTAATAAAAAAAACTTAAAAATTACCTTCTTTAGCTAACTTGTTGCAATAAACATTAGCATACATGGTCCTTCAATAATTAAATAAAACTTTGGATAGATAGATAGGTAAATATTCTTCATTGTCTGTAGAATACAATCATTTTTAATGACAAAGCTAACAAAACTAAAAAAAATTGCATATTTGGATCTCAAGTTAGCGAATTGTAGACATAATATAGTTAACAAATAAAAAGTTTTGTAGTCCACGGCGAAATATCTTGTTGTTGATTCTTTTCGTATCATCAGGAAGGTGTATATAAATTTTCAAACCATTATAAATGATTGATTCTTTCACAAGTGTTGATTTAGGTACTACTAATGTAAGATCTTGTTTTCGTTTAATACCGGACCATATTTGATGTCTGAAATTTGATTTATTTAAAAAAATGAGAGTTGCTGTTGCTAAAATAAATAATGATACGACGGTCATTTAAGGGCTTGCATCTAGCTCAAGGATTGCTTTTAGTAGTAGGACTAGAACCGGTAGATTTACTGGAAAATCGGTAGACTTGTTAACACTGGTTATGTTCGTCAATGATCGCCAGTTATAGTATACAAGTCTGATATCAAATTTCGTATGGTGTCATGTGGCCCTTACTAATTGTCGACAAGAATTGAAGAAAAAATCGCAGTTCTCTTTAAAGTAATTATTTTTCTTAACGCCCTTTACATTGCAATAAAAATCAACGTCTAGTATAATGTCAGAATAACCATTTAACCTATAGATTTATTTTGACGTCAAAATGGATATCTGAGATGTCATTTTATATGGGTCATAAAATTTAGATAGTTTATTTTACTGTTTTTTACAATTTTTTATGTTGGTTTGTTGTATTATGTTTGGCATCTTTCACTGCGCAGGGAAATTCTTGTCGTTTTTTGCTGTCAAAGGTATTTTTTTACTTCTACGATTGTTAAAAGATTTTTAGTAATACTGATATTTACACAACATTTATATCTTTATTTGCATTAACAGATAGGAAGCTTCTACCAGGTACTTTCTTTTATATGTTACATGCATGTTTCTCATAATGTACCATCTCATCTTTTTTTAATAACCAGTCAAGGTAGTTATACCAAATTATTGGTGAAACCACTCAAATTTCATTTTTCGCAGTTCCAGGAATTCAAGAGACTGGCTACAAAAAATTCTAACCGATCTTTAAAAAATAATCAAGTTTTTGTAGATTCCAAAATATTTGATGGTACAGTGTTTGAAATTTTCCAGAAAAGAATGATGCTGACGAAGCATCGAGGCAGGCTCAAGTGTTATGGAGTGCGTGCCAAGCGCTGTTACGTGCCATAAAAGCAGGCTGTCCGGGAAAACCATGGAAAGACCAAATTCGCCCGTTAGAGCCAGAACTGAAAGCTGTTGAAAAAGCAGCAGGTTTGTACATATGATTTTTTCATTTTTCATAATTAACATAGTTATTTTGTCAGAAACATTTAGAATGATGCCCATCTGCTTCTTTCCCTATTCCAGTTTTTATTGGGTTCTCCACAAGAGGGTAATATTAATTTATTTTGTCTTATCGACATTGAAAGTCAAGTTTGTCACACCATTTTTTGATTGTATATCACTATCAATTGTTTTCTTAATTTCATTTATATGTGTCTTGTGGTATCGTCAGCAAAAACTACGAACATACCATTTAAATTAAGTTTATTAAATCACTAAGAAAGAATCGGCCCTAATACTGATCCGTGTACCGATTCAAGTTTTTCTCGATCATTTAATTCGAATGTCTTGTTTCGTCAGCCGAAAACGACGAACTGGTGGGCGCAGTTATGAAAGGCATCCCGAAAGAAGCTAAAGAGCGCGGCGTGTACCCCGAGGACGCGTTACGCGAAAGATTCCTGAAAGTCGAGCAGGTGGCGCGCACGGTTGCCCTCGTGCCCGAAGCGGGAGCTTCGCTGCCCATCCACGTGCTGTCGTACATCCAGTCGCTGTTGCTGATCAAAGCCCCGTCGCCCATTCCGCAGAGCGAGCTTGATGACGAGAAGGTCGATTTTGCTGAATTGAGCACCAACGATATTCTGCAGAGAGCTAGGTGAGTGTATTGCGTTTGTGGAATCGAGGAAGTGTACTTGTACAGTTCAATTTTATTTTTAAATCTACAGGCTCAAAATAAGTCGATTGGACTCGATGCAGAAGTGCTTCGTTTGTCCGTTAGATGGCGTCAAAGTGTTCTTTTTGGAAGACATTGTTCAGATATTTTTGAAACCAATATTCCGATTTGTAATGGCATGAAAAAAGTATTTTTTTGGTATTTTTTTCCTATGGTGGAAGAAACTGTAATCAAATAGTATTGGAGGAAGTTAAGCATGTATTTAAGTAACAAACACGAAAATCACCATGAAAAAACAATATTCAAAAATAGCGGCTTCGGAGCATTTTTCTCGAAAGAATTGTCATTATTTTCATTCGATTTTTTTACAATCTACAGCTCATACAAAGTCATTGTAGAGAAGGTCACCATTATGACCAAAACGTTTACAATGAAGAAGTTTTTTTTTCAACACGTGGTTTCGATTGGCCAGAGAAATATGGGGGACTATGATTAAGGGCAGAAATATATTTATATAAGTTTGAGAATATCAAGTCAACATATACTAAGTGACATATAAATCCGAACACCCAGTTTAAATGGTTTTATTTTAATAAAAGTTGGTGAATGTATTTATCTTACTGCAAATAACATGTGAAAAAATTTTCAGCCTTATCAGTTGGACATTCCGGTTTTTATACTGTTTTTTTTTTAATTCACTAACGCTCTAAAAATGAATATTTCAGCCGCAGTAAAGAATCAACGTTGGCGGATTTTGGTTGTTGACGACCTTGACGATCGGTTACGATGCCTAGAGTACGGAGACCTGTACGATTTCGTCAACTTAGTGAGTTTGAGAGGGGCCGTATAGTGGGACTTCGGGAAGCTGGACTTTCTTTTCGGGCAATTGCAGTTAGAGTGCAAAGAAGTGTAGACACTGTGGTTAGGTGTTGTCAGGCATGGCTTCGAGAAGGCCGTACGAAAAGAGCAAGGGGCACTCGACGCCGCCGTAGAACAACAGACCGTGAAGATCGCCGCCTAAGATTATTGGCCTTAAGGGACCGTTTCTCCACTACCAGGTCCATTGCAAATGAATGGTTTGCAGAACACGGAAGTCCTATTGGCATGCGAAGTGTTTACCGACGAATGAGAAGTTTTGGCTTGTTTTCATACCGGCCACACTGGGTCCTCCCTTTAACTCGAGAACACCAACGTAATCGCCTTGAGTGGTGCAGACAACGGTCACTCTGGGATCAGGAATGGAACAGTATTGTCTTTAGTGACGAGTCTCGATTTTGTTTAGGCATGCACGATGGTCGTGCCAGGGTTAGAAGGCGACGTGGTGAAAGGAGGAATCCACAGTTTTTTGTTGAAAGACATGTTCATCACACTGTCGGAGTTATGGTTTGGGGTGCTATAGCTTATGGTTCCAGGTCACCTTTAATCTTCATCAGAGGTAACATGAACGCGCAGCGTTATATCCACGAAGTTCTAGAACCCCATCTTTTACCCTATCTTGACACCCTGGCAGATCCAACTTTCCAACAAGATAATGCCCGACCACATGTTGCAAGAGTCACAATAGACTTCTTTCAACATAATGATGTCACATTGTTACCATGGCCACCAAGATCTCCCGACTTATCCCCAATTGAGCACGTGTGGGATATGATGGGTAGGAGATTGCTCAATTTGCAACGTCCTCCTCAGACTCTAGAAGCACTTCGAGAGGAGTTGGTGGTTGCCTGGAATGAGATACCACAGGAGGACATTGACCACCTGATCAGAAGCATGCCTAGGCGCGTTGGAGAATGCGTAGCACATCACGGTGCATCCACACATTATTAAAGGTTTAAAGCAGTGCAATCATTTTGAAATTTTTATCATTTACTTATTATGCTTCATTAAGTACTTATACAAAATTTTATTAAAATAAAACCATTTAAACTGGGTGTTCGGATTTATATGTCACTTAGTATATATAGCCAATTTTGAATTTCATGTGACTTTTTTGAATAGACCTGTTCCATTATTTTTTTATCTAAAAATACAGGATATGATTCCTTAGCTCATTTTGTGGAAGAAAAGTTGATATGCTTTAACTTTTTAGCTACAGGGTGTTGAAATTTCGAAAAAAATTCGTCTTCTCATAACTTTAATACTGTTCTAGATATTTTCATGAAATTTGATCTGCTGCACCTAAACACCTATAGGCTTTTTTTAACGTACTCTCAAAAAAATATGGTACGCCATTACTTTTTTCAAAAAAATCCTTGTTTATATTGCAATGAATTTAACCACTACCATTTGTGGTATAACGAAATTATTTTGAACTAGGGCTGGTGCCTTATTTTGTTTTTAAAATTATGACACTTGATCGATTACGTTGTGGTCTTATTTTGACAAGTATTCATAAACGAGATAGTATTTTACATTCAGAAAGTTTCTTTAATCAATAATAAAGTGAAAATAAGTATGCCAAGATTTACAAATTCCAAGTTAGCAGATAGGAGGTCATTTTCATCAATTCTTGTGATAATTATATTAAATAGTACGAGTATTAGTTTATTTGATCCACAGAAATTGTCAAAAATTGCTGCAAACTTGTTTTTTAATCTTCGTGCATTGCAACATCGCTGACATCTCATGTGGTAGTTTGTAAGTGAGGTGTGTTTTTGTTTAATTTTAATTCAAGTAATGTCAATTCATTAAAATAGCCAACATGGTGTTTATTTTTTCGCGAAAATGGTACTTAGAACGGAAAAAGCCAAGAGGTCAAATTTGTTGCAAAGTAAACAAGGGTTTCAAAAATATTTTGTTGCAAAAGGTAATAGCGTACCATATTTTTTTGAAAACTCTCCAGCATAAGTACATCAAAAAAACGCCTATTGGTGCTTAGTAGCTGTACTAAATAAAGTCATGAAAATATCTAACGAATTTTTTCTTAAAATTTCAACACCCTCTAGCTAAAAAGTTAAGAGGTTTAGGACATATGTTCATATAAACTTTTCTTCACCAAATGAGCTAAGGAATCATATCCTGTATTTTAGCGATCAAGTGAATTACACTCTGTAAAGACAATGTTCGATTTCATTTAATTTTTTGAATTGACTTATTCCATTCTTTTTTTTTTTGATTCTATGAAAGTCAGCGAAGTCGTGGAACTTACAGAGATGATGTAAACAACACCATTTTTGATACAAAATCATTGGCGTAGTGCTTCTACAGATTATAAAATCGATTTTTTTGTCCTGTTAGGTACTGGCTAGACAGGGGAGATTTCGCTCAAACACTCCGCTACATGAACCTTTTAAAAGGCGCCCCCAGGTGCGTAGCTCGCCAGTGGATGAACGAAACCCGGATACTTCTGGAAACACAGCAGGCCGCCAACACTTTGATGGCCCATGCAGCCTCCAGCGGCCTCACGTACCTCTAAAACCATACCCGAAAGCGATCAGTCGTTTCGTTTATTTCCAACTCCAATCGACATACTTTTATCTACCGATATATCTACAATTTTTCTTTTTTCGAGCAGTCACTCGTTGGGTTTTAACGCGTACCAGGATGTTTCCTTTATTGATGTATTATTGTTGAAATAAATTATTATTTTTTAATCAGTTTTATTTTTTTCCCTTGAATTGCCCGTAGTTATTGAAATCTATACAGAGTTCTACAGATTTAACTTCATCAGGAACAAATACATAAGACAGATGAAAACAAAGGAGTAGAATAAGTAATACAAAGTGTGTTCGAGGAACTGCGTTTTTCCTTGATAGAAAAGTCGCTTCCAGGGTCTTTCTCTGGATAAATACCTGGAGAAAAAGTGCGGGAGCTTACCGTCTCCTCTCTAAGGACGAAGTTAATTTTGTGATGAAACGTTTATGTTGAACGTAACGCAGAACTTGAATCACGCGCTTGACGTTAAACTGTTTATAACCAGGAATTCCACAACGATGACGCTAGATCAGACGAAATTTTAACTTTCTGCCGTTGTCGATTCAACCAAATCAAGGGAGCTTGCAAATCACGTGTTCAGCTGGTTTTCCGCATGCTTTTCACTCTGTTGGAAATGACATGCTTTGTTTTGCTCAGGGTGGCTTCCTTTGAGATTGTTAGCTATATTTCATTTAAACTATTTGAATAACACGAATTATCAGGAAATGTGTTACAAGTTTTGTTTTCAAATTTATGAAAAAGGATGCAATTTTGGGTTATAAATTCATTTTAAATGCCATTTTAGATCGGCTAAAAATTCTTGCTGAGAATGGAGGCTCTCCCTGACTTTTTGCGCCTAAAGCTGTAAGTAAAAAACTTGACAAGTGTTACTTTTTGTTAATTACTTTGCTCTCTGATTTTCAAGAAGTACAGTCTGAGAAAATCAAAAAGTTCACCAATTTTGGGTTAGCATACAAGGCTAAAAATAGAATTAAAATAATAATAATAATAATAAAGGCAGCAGCGGTGGCCGCAGTAGTAGACTCTTCGGCCTCCTGATCAGTCGCCGTGCGCTGTGCGGGTTCGAGTCCCGTCGAGTCCGTCCGTAGGTGGTAGACGGTTTCTGACTGTCGAACGTGGAGGTACCACCCGGCGGATCTCGTAGGCGGAGCCAGAATGTGTGCATGTTGCATGCACACGTGTTCCCTCGCCAGAGTCCGTGTGGCGTCCCCCCTTTCCCCTGTATCCCCCTATAGCCCCACGGTACCCAATGGGTGTTTAGGCCTTAGGCCTTCGTGGTAGTTGGAGTATAAAAAAAAACTAATCTCAAAATATTCTTCAAGGTCTTATAGGGCAAAGCTGAATCTTTAATTCTGACAATTGGCGATATAAATAATTATAAGTTTTAACAGAATTTTTAAGCATTGAATATTCCCATTTTTGGTGCTTTTCAGACATTAAAAAGCTTATAAAGCGAAAACGGTCAGCTTTAGAGAAAAGTTAATGAAAGCCTGTTATGTTCGGAATGATTCAAAAAACCTGAGAAAAAATCGTATGTGAAAAAAGTCGCAATGTATTCAAAAAAAATTGGTTGAAATTGATCTGGGAGTATTTAATGCTTCAAAACTCGGTTAAAAATTGAAATTTTCGAGATCGAGTCTCTAATTTCAAGGTAAAACCTTGCTCTAATAGACCTTGAAGAATATTCTGAGATTAGTTTATTTTAATGCGATTTCAACCTTTTTCCTGCCAAAATTGGCGAACTTTTGGTTTTTCGCGACTGTACTAAACTGTGGTAAAAAATAAAAAATATATTAAATGACGTATATTTTCTGAGAGAATCACTTCTTCCATTTTCGTAGTATCACCACCAGTTATAGTAGATCTGATCCTATATAAAACGACGAAAAAAAGTGGAACCGTCAAAAAACTGTGAAGTGCTGTTAGTCCAGGCAATCAGGCAATATTTTCGTATCAGATGAGAAAAATATTCTGATTCGTTTTTTTGCATAATCTTATTCACAAAGGGGCCTTTTTAACGAATCTGCATGTTGCCGCGATCAAATTTGCGTCAAAATTTTTTGAACAATTTTTTTCAGCAAATTCCAAAAATATCTTTTTTTCGCTCAGGTCAACGTGCTTTTAGGTATTTTGGGGCATTCTCAACAAAAAAGGTGCTTTAGAAGTTTTCTCTAAAGTTGATAGTTTTCGAGATATAAGCGATGCAATATTTGAAAAAATGCGAAATATATGTTATTTTCGACCCCGCAAAACAATACACCCATTTTTAGGCTTTTTCAGACATTAAAACGGTTATAACTGGAGAATGGTTGCCGTGCGGTATACTAAATGCTTGAACACTGTTAAAAATTATAATGTTAAGGTCACCAAATATCTGAAATAAATTTGAAGTCTTGATCTACAAGACTCCTACGAGTATTTTAAGATTAGTTTATTTTAAAGCGATTTTTTATGTTTTTTAGGCAAAAACGACGAACTTTTTGTTTTCGCAGTCTAAACATTCCGTATTTCTGTAATGAAAAAAAAACAATTTCCAGACAAATGATTCTATAATTTTACTTTCATTCAAATCTTATAATTGATTCCAAGTTTCTTAGCTATAGATAACTTTCTATCCTAGTTCCACATTGCCTTGCGACAGCACCCTGACAGCGTTTTTCTTCTTGTTCACACCAACGACAGCTTTTGCTATTTGCTCCTTCTCGTCTTCTTCATCCTTGATGTCTGTAGCCCTTGAACCTTCTAGCATTATTCTTGTTATATACACCTTAAAAAAATAATCATCACTTCAGAAGTTATTGGAGTCTATAAGGTAATTCAGGGTTCAGAGTACCATCGAGAGTATTCAAAACTAAGTTGTTAGGTTGTTGCTGAAATATATGAAATTCGTCGTGAAATTGGTCCCGTATATGAATGTACGAGGGTGGTCCCAGAAGTACCCGACCCAACGAAGAAAACAAAAATTTTGTAAAAAAATGTATTTATTTTTCAACATGATCTCCTTTGAGGTCTATACACTTTTCTCAGCGATGTTCAATAAGTTCGATACATTAACCGCCGACATCACTTCTTTATCATTGGAAAATCTTTGACCACTGAGCCATTTTTTCAAGTTTGGAAACAAAATAATCCGAGGGGGCTAAATCTGGTGAATAGGGTGCATGAGGTAGCAATTCAAACTTTAATTCGTTAATTTTGGCCATTGCAGTAACGGATTTGTGAGGTGGTGCTTGATATCATCGCTCAAACGTTGCAATAAGTTCGCATAATACTCGCCGTTGATAGTTTTACCTTTTTCAAGATAGTCAATGAAAATTATCAGCTCATACGGCCTCGTTTAAACTCTGCTACCCAATATTTTACTGTTGTAAACGAAGGAGCAGGCTCGCCCAGAGTAGAATCCAGTTCAGCTTTTATATTGGTTGGGCTGAGGCCTTTGAAATAAAAGTATTGTACCACATAACGATGACCAATTATCTCCATTTTCACAAATTCACTGAAAACGTTCAGATGATGGCTGCCAAACAAATACTAAACAACGTGGCGTCTTCAAACTTGACACACATGCTTTATAGGTTGCATACTTTCTAATACAATGATATTTTTCAAACAACTATCGCCATCTCTAGGTCAGGTACTCCTGGGACCACCCTCGTAGTAGAGGTGTGTAGCATATTCTGTTTTTAACACAGAACTCTTGAAGTAGCCAATTTCATACATTTTCAGCAATATACTAAATTAGATTTTTTTGATGATGCACACTCTTATGTCTATGTATACGAGCACCCTCTTATGTAATAACCCTAAACGGAAAAGAAAAAACTATAGATGTGTGATTTAAGCGATCAATTTATGGGGCCCAAAACGAGAAATGAACTGGAAATGAAATTAAACGAATGCTTTTAATTATTGTCGCAATGCTGACATTTTCGGTGAATGCAAATCGCGGGTAAACTTTTTCAAAACACGATGATGATTCATGTCTTGCGCGACAAAAAATCGCGTGCAACGAAAACATCGTTTTTGAATCGCGAGCTAAATAAGCTCGTTGCGTATCTGGTAACTCATTAGGTACCTGTCTAGCAGTTACATACGGTTTTACTTCTTTGCCAAACAGCCTTGGTGGTTTCGACTCGTACCAAACATTTTCGCAGATTTCTTCGCTGCTGTCTGCCAGACCTTTATCTCTTTCTGTGCCTTCCGCATAAATATAATTTTTTTCTGTAAATTGAAAAAATTTCTGACAAGTTCGAATAACTAAAGATTCGTGGAGTGAATCAGCCATATTAGCTCTCTGATGTAAAAATATCTTCAAAAACAATGTTTTTACTTACCAGCACCACCTCCAGCACCATACTCGTCATAACTTGTACAGTAGCATGGCCGCAAGTATGTGTCTTCAATCGAATCGGGACTGAAAGAAATCATTTTATTTTTTAACTGAAATTTTGCCTCTTAACTGAAATATTTCAAATTTAAATTCTGACGTGTATTTATTTGAAATGAGTTCTGTTCCATTTAACCATTTTCCGTTATTGCCTATCCTGAGGTACGACGAGTCATTCTTTGTACAGTTCTGCCAAGTTGCAATTTTAAGGTGGATCGTGAATACGTGTCGGCTCTCAGGAAAAATATCTAGTCAATTTATATTTCAGAAAAAGACCAAGGCTGAACTCAGTCAATTATTTTCAAGTCTCTAGGCTATTTTCTGACTATCCTTTGGAGTATGAAGATGTTTTTACACAAGAAGTACCACTATTTGGCATGAGTGTTAACACTTATTATTGATCCATCTTTCCAAATGCTTAATATGTGGCAACGCTGCCCATTACTTGTGTGAACTAGCTGACACTTCAGTTGTCCACTATTAACGGTTCAGTTTATCCGTTCTACCCGTGGAACAAACATGATTTCAAATGGGAACGGTGCAAAAGTGTAAATAAACAAGGAATTTAGTGATTATTCTCAATTACCTTTAATTCCGTTGATTATTTGAGAAAAGGAATGCAGCATCCGAAATAAAGGCGATATCATCACGTAAGTACTTCTTCCGGTTTCGATTATATCAAGCTTTCAAGTCTTGTATTTTTCTTAATTGAGGTTATATTTACATCCCAAATCCCATCTGACAAAATTTGAAGTGGCGTTTCAAAACGTAAACACGATGGAAATTTTGCAGTTTTCCAGTGATTAGATGGCTTCTGGATCTAAAGATGACGAGGAGGCAATTTCCACGCATGTTTTGGAGTATTATCAGCGGTTTTCCAGAAATAGACACTTACCGAGGTACTTCAGTGGCAGCTCGGTGTCTTACCTGCCAGAGATCAGAGGAGAGAGCGATAGCGAACATGAGCTACGGGAGAACCCCCTGATAGTAATCTCGTGTGCTGAAAAAGGCGAAACCTCCCGGGCAAGCAGTGACTTGTCTAATAAAAAGCTCGAATGGGACAATGGAGCTGACATAGGCTACGAAAACTGTGAAGCAACTAAATTGAAGAGGACTTCCTCATTGCCTGCCCTGCTGGACATTCCTAAGTCACCTCATGTTTCGTTTGACACAGATCAAAGCTCTTCCAGCGGGTCTGAGCTCAAAATTATAATTGTTGAATCTTCATCTGAAAACAATGCAGGAAAGCCAAAAAGCAGTACATCTTCACTATGTGAGGAGGAGAAGAAGCTGTTATCATCATCTTCATCTGCATCAAACATAGAGAAAAAGGTACAAATAGTGAAAAAATTATGAGAAATTATGTGAAAACAAAACTGCAAATATCCACTTAGGCCCATATCGTCAGTCGTCTCTACAATTGTAGGGCGCCTTTATGGCCTCCTTGATTGTCATAGTTTTCTACTTCTTCGTGTCAGCGCTATATTTTGAGGTTATGTCACAAACATCTATTTGCATCAAATTGTGCTTGCTTTTGAGTTGTATCATGTTTTATCAGCCTGAAATTTCCTACAATTTAAAAAGAAAACATATCTTCAAGATAGGAGAGCGCTGACACTGACACGGGACAAGTGTAATCTAGAAATTTTTGAAGGAGAGAAAGGAGTATGACAATCAAGGAGGCCATAAACGCGCCCTACAATTGTAGGGACGACTGACGATACGGGCCTTAGTGGTAAGAATAATTATATCAGTATACATGTTACTTTTTATTTTTTCTCTTCAAGTATTAGCATTATTTAACATTTTTTTCAAGAAGATATCCAACCATAGGATACACATTCAATTCCCTTCATATCATCCAAGTTAGATTGCAATATTGAAAGCTACTATAATAGACTCCATTTTCCACTTAAAGTAGATTGCTTATTTTCAAATATAAGATCAACTTTCCATGGATAGGCCACCTCATCCTCATGATTATTCCTAAGATTCCATATTCTTAGAATTTCTTTATGGAAAAAGAAATCCCATATTCTGCAACACTAGTCCACAATTTGGAAATGCTGACAACTAAAGATGTTGCCACAGGTTATGTGCATATTTTTGCACAAGCACTGCTTTCATTTGGGTTGGGTATCAAGAAGTCCATAGGAAAGGGGGAGGGGGTTCAAACAGGTAAAACATATGAGGACACTTTTGAGAAAAAATATTGTATTTAAAAATAATAATAATAAGCAATCAACATCCTCCAAAATTAAACTGTTGCCATCTTAATAACTTATTTTATTTATATGAGGTCTGTAAATCAGGTAATGATGACTGGCAACATAGCATTTGATCTGGCAACACTGAAGGCGCCGGGCTTGAATGGGAGGCAGGGTTACATGTGATCCATCTTCAGTACAAGTTTGAACCTGCTCGAGTCATTTGTATGTCTGTAGCGATGTTTTTGGCAAAACCGTTTTTTCTAGTATGTTCTAAAACATAGAAACTGCAAAACTGCTAGACACTAAGTTTTTGCAACAAGAGTTTTTATTTAATAATTTGTATCTTGTTTCCTATTAAAAAGTTTTTCTACTTGTAAATTCCCGCTCCCCGCTTTTGCAGACGCCCGTGTCGGATATATTTTGATAGAATATGTTCATCATTGTTGATGTTGATATGGATTTGAAATATTTTGTTCAAAAGAGATAGTAATTTAATAATATCACTTTTTCGTTAGGTTCATCCTAGTTCGAGTTCAGGTTCAAGCAAACAGGATGAAAAACTAGTTCCTGCATCATCTTCACACACGACCTCTAGTAGTACAAGAAACATACTAGACTTCATGGGCACGCTGTCATACTTGAAACAAAAAATAGGTTTACCAGATGCCCATTCTACTCCACATGAAGATAGTGCGCAGAAAAACTTGCTTGCTCAGTATTTACAAACACCCATTCTTCCAAACACTAAAAAACCTGTTCGACGACTTTCAGAACAAGTTGAGGCACTGAAAAACGATGAGTTTAAAGATAGCAAAACAACTGTTAACTCAAATCAAAAGGTGGAAGTTATGAAAAATGAGGAGCTTGAAGATAGTAAGACAGTTACCAAGCCCAGCCAAAAGGTGGTAACGCTTTGCCTGACAAAACCCATCAGCGTAGAGTGTACTGGTGAACAGAAAACAAAATCAGAAAAGGCCGCGACTGTTAAACAATCCACTGTCGCTATACAAACCGATGAAATATCTGAAAAAGAGCTGATAAAAATAATAGCAAGAAGCCAAAACAGCTTGAATCAGTCTGTTTTGTATTACAAACATGCTGATAACAAAAATGAGAGTAGCAGTCAAACAGGTTCCAATGTAATGGGGTCAAACTGTGACAGTTTTGAGTATATATCTGGAAGAAATGCATCCCCAAAAAACAACGATAGCTCAGAGGGAGATGTGGAATCTGAAAAACTGTATGTGGATGTCAAAAAAAGTGCCGGCCAACACAAATTAGAAACGCTAAATGCTAGCAGTGATTCTCAAAGTTCAGAAAATTGTTTGGGTAATGAAGAGGTAGAGAAAAGTATTCATCTGTTACAAAAGTTGATCAAATCAAAGAAGTATGATCCAGCTACAAAGAAACGATATATAAAAAAACTCATAAAGAAGATTTCAGAGTCTAAGTTCATGGAAGAATCTAGCACTAGCTCTGATCTGTTCTACCCAAAAAAATCTGAAATACCTAAAAATCTTCAGCAAAACACACCTAGTACTGAAACATCATCTGAACCTCTTCAAAAACCTTCCTTACATCCCACTGATTTTTCTTGGATTCCCGCTAGCAAGCCTCCATCGTTATCTCCAAGAAAAAAGTCATCAGATACAGACGTTTTCCACCAAAAGAATCTAAAATCTTCACCAAGGGAAAAGCAATCACAAGCAAACATATTTCATCAAGAGAAAAAGAGGCCTTCAAAATCAGACGTTTGTTATCAGGACGTCCATGTAACAGAAAATCTCACCAGCCCAACTGAAATAATACCGGTAGACGCCAGAGATATGCGCAAAAATCTTTTCACGCTGACTAATAATGAATTTTCTGTAAATAAAGATACCGAATCAAGCAAATCTAAGAGCAGTGACAACGCGAGTTTGGAGAAAAACTACCAATCAGCTTCAAGTCTGAAATCGTACCAAGACTGGAAAGATGACAAGACGGTTTCTGAAAAAATGTTTGAAGCAGAAAGATTTGCGGGAGACGGTGACTATTTGACAAACTGGGCTTCAAAAGAAAGAGCATACCAAATTAACTGGATTAACAATGAAATTTCGCATTTGGGGAAATTGAAAAATTTGCTGGAAAATATCCCCAACGAACCCGAGCAATCTGGGACTAGCAGTGGAAGTAGGAGCAGTGCATCGCACAAAACTACCTCAGTGTATCGGGTATCGGAGCAAAATGTACCTCCAGGTGAACGAAAGCCTAAAAAATACGTGATACAAACGCAGTTTGGTCCAAAAGATGGAGAACCTAGAGGATATATGTTAGATGGCAAAAAATACATTGTTGAAGAAGATAATATGGCGTCTAGACCTAGACAAGTACTTGGAGATATAGAAATTGTATCTAGCGATACCACAATGAATATTAAAGTGACAACATTTTGTGAAACTTGCAAAAAGTCACCTTGCATATGCAATGTGGAATCTCAGGCTAAAGTATTTGTAGCTGAAACTGGCAAAGAGACTCGAGATGCGCAAAGCTCCGAAATATGTATAACTTGTCATAAGTCGCCTTGTGTCTGTCCAAAAAATACTGGTGCGATTCGAAAGAAATGTTCGGAATGTAACTTGTATCCTTGTGGCTGCGTGATTCGTAAAGATTCGTATTTTGGAGAGTTTATACCTGCTAAATCACCTGGACCTTCTACTTCGTCCAAAATATGTCCAAAGTACAAAGAATCTGCAGAACAGTACAACTCTTTAAAAAGAGTTTTCGAAAATTGCTCATGTACCTCTACAGAAGGCACATGCGCTTTTGTACAGAAACTGGTTAAACATTTTGACGTTGGCCAAACCATACCAATTCAGTGCTCGTTTGGACCAAAATACATATGCAAAAATGCAACAATGCAAGCTCAGGTTGAGGTGCGATCAGGCGGAGACAAACAGTTGCAAACTGACAAGAAAGTACATTTTTCACAAGCGAGGTCTCAACGTGACATGTCGTTTGAAATTGATAATAGACAAGTTGACAGTAAGAGCAACCAAACAAATCGACGAGAACTTGGTGATCAGGATGAAGCAACTGCTACAAACACTGTGGACCTAGTAGAAAACGTTGCCCAAACGAACGTAATTCAGAGCAAGTCGCGAGCAATTCAAAGTGAACAAGCCAAAATCATTGAAACCAAGACACAAACTGATAGTAGCGCATTCAATTTAAAAGATGAAGCTTCCAATACGTTTCCTCAAGCAGCACATCAGCAAACTGGTTCTCAGACTGAACCAACTAACGTTAAAAATCAAGCAACCGGTGGTGAAGTTAAGGCTATGATGCATAGAGGTATAGACGCTCCAAGAAGACCTGAATACCATCATGTGGACATCCAACATGGTTGTGAAAAGGCAGATCAAGAAACAATGGCTTGTGCTCCAGAAAATCTCAGTTACGAACTGGTAGTAGTTGAGCCGTTACCAGTGTACACGCCGCCTGTCTTGAGAGAGGTTTCAGATGAGGCCGTCAATACAACACCAAGAGAAAATGTGGATAAAGGTACCCAATCCGATGCTAAGCAAACTTTAGAACGCGTTGTGAGCAATGTCAGAGACGCTGGGGTAAATAATAATGGCCAAATACATCGCTCTAAGGCTACTATAGCTTACCAGTTTCCAGAATCGGAGAAGAGAAGCAAGAATCAAGCTGTTAATGTTCTTCAAGATGTCGATGCAAGGGAGAGTCAAACTGATCGCGCAGAACGGGATATTCAAATTCAAACGCAGACGAAAGATGCGGTTAAAGCTACCCAAACAGGAAGTCAAAACCAGAGAGTTGCTCAAACAACTCAGATCCCGCAGGAGCACCAGCAAGGTGTTCAAGTTCAGATATTAAAGGAAAACGCAATGAAAAATACTCAGGGAGTTCAAGTAAGTCGTGACCAAGATCAAGGTACGCAAGTCAACGTACTTACACCTAAAGGTTCTTATGCAGATTTTATAGAGCCAAAAGTTCCTCAATCTGCACAAACACCACAAGTGCAAAATGATGGGTCTCAAGCCTCGTACATAGATCAGAGGGCCAGTCATTCAGTTCAAGCGCCTCATGTCCATGGACTCAATACTCAAGCAACATATAGATATCACAGGACCACACGTTCAGTTCAAGATGTTGATGTTCAAACGCGACCGCGCCAAGGTTCTTTGGACAAATCTTCCCAAGGTGTAGTCGGAGATCAAGGAAGCTCTTTCATACAGATTCCAGTATTTAGAGATAGTGTTACGAGGACCATACAAACTAAGGTAGAAGAACAATATGCTCATACCCAAACGCAAAACATGTTACATATTTCAGTTAAAGCAACTCAACCTAGTGAACGTTATCAACAGGAAGCTCAAAGTCAAACTGTAGGAGTTAGAGATCCAGCAAACAAAGCTGTACAGGCGGAGAGGTATGAAACTATTGGTCAGAGTCAGACAGAAAAGCTTAGAGTTTCAAGTATTGCGGTTCAGCCTCTGCACGATTTGCAAAAAGTTGGCGGAACCCAAACGGTAGGTACCAGAGGGTCAGCGAGCAAGGTTGTGCAAGTTGGTGAAACTCAGGCTGGAGTACCAAAGTTTTCAGCAAGTACCGGTGCCCACCGTTTTGAAAAAGATGGTCAAACTCAAACTAGTAGTTTAGGTCATCCAGTTGATGGAGGCATTCGAGGTGCAAGACAGTATCAGACTCAAACAAGTGAAGATGGAAAAACATCTCGCAAAGTAGCTCAAGCTTTGGCTGGACAAAAGTCAGTGGATACCCAAACTCAACCAAAAGGTGGGTCGATGAAAGAGATAGAACTAACTACATATACAGACGTGAAAGTTCAAGCTAATACATATCCTAGATCGACAAGTGGAAAAAAAATCAAATTCGTCGGATCTGATTCTGAAGTAAGCAAACTTCAAAGCAGTTTGAAAGGTGTGGGTTGCATGTGCGCCTGTCGTACGCAGAGAGTGCGAAAAACGTCAAGTGAGGGTTCCGAACAGGCTACGAGGCGTGTCAAGACCATGAAGAATAAGCGAATAGAAACGGATAGAGAGAGAGGTAGAGTGAAGATTTTGGATGAAAGAGCATCTGAGCCTGAGACAGCTGGAAGGAAAAGAGCTACTATGAAAAGCAAGAGCGTGGAAACTGAGAAACGGACGATTGGGACTTGTAGATGTGGATTCACGGATAGGGTGTACCTCGAGGATGAGGCTGCACAGAAGAGGAAGACTGACAATCCAGATGAAAGTTCGTACAGACATTATAGCGCTTCTTCTAATGGTGAGTACATTCAGAAACCGTTTTTTTCTCTAGCAAGTTTTGGAAACACAGCCATAGAATTTTTGTCACATTGTTACTGCTACTTGTATATGCCATTATTTATGTTTTATTTCGGGATTTTATTTTTAAATAAAACCAGCAATTTTGGAGAAAGACAGTGTTTCTGCAGATGTCCATTCTTCAACTAAAAGTTGTTGAAAAATGGCTCAAAAACTACAAACAGACATATTGAGGCACCCTTTATAATTATCTGACCAATTTTGATTTTCAGGTACCACAGAAACTACTACAACGTCGACTCCTCGTTCCTATACTATACCTCCATCCTTACTGACCTGCATCTGCTGTGATAGGCGCACCACATCTGATAATGTCTCTGTCTTCACCAATAACAGCAGGGAGTATTTCCTGTGTTGCCATTGCGTGAAAAAAAGGCCAATATTGACCTCGATCTGTTACAGTGGGCCTGACAAGCAGTCGCTGTCAAGTTCTACGCCAGGACCATCCAGCACGCTTACCAGAACTGAGTCTGCTGGAGATTTTTGTACATGCACGAAGCCTTATAGGTGAGCATTACATATTGGGTTGGAAATGTAAATCAATAATTATACTAATAATTGCCTTATTTTTGTAGGTCTAAACATTCCGATTACTGCTCACATTGTAGAAATAGACTTCGGAAAACCTCGAAAGCTAAGGGTGGAATAGCCTATACTTTGACCTTGGAATGCGAGCCTCCCGATAAATTCAAAGTCAAAAAAAGGAGAAAAAAGCCCCTGGAAGAGATCAGAGTTAAAGTTCCTTGTCCGTACAATAAGAAAAAGTTCAAAGATAGAGAAAATCTCCAGAGAAAAAGTAGTTTCGATACGAAGGCAGTGATAAGTAGTGACAAAACGGATTCGCCTGATACGAATAAATCTGGGAACACGAATTCGAATATTACAGAATCTAGAACCACGAATGGCACTTTTAAGAGAGATAGTAGTACGGGTGATTCTCAGGATAAGCCAAGTAAACCGTCGTCGCTGCAGGTAATAAAAGAGACGTCAAGTTCCAATCCAACTTTTTTCAAAACTCAATAAAACCCTTTGTATGCATCAAAACATTTTTATTTGTTTTTTAATGTAGACGCATACCTAAATTTTCCTTTTACATAGTTTTGAAGATCAAGTCAGATAGGTGACATCTCCGATTCTCCATACACTGAGTCTTTGCAGCATAGCAGGCGTTATGTTAGCAATTTCTTCCGGGATATCGGTCTTTAAATCTTGTAGGATCCTTGAACGGTTCTCGTAAACACGGGATTTCAAAAAACGCCATAGTAAAAATCACAAGCGGTCAAATCGGGAGAGCGAGCCGGCCACACCAAATCGCCCCTAATTGACAACATTTGACATGCACAAAAAAATAAATTTGCAATTTCTGTTACCTTCCGATTGACATTTAATTTTATTTTTCAGGAATATTTGAAACTGAATAGGCCTGATTTTATAAATTCGGCGGAGTACAGAAGAAACGTTGTGAATAACGCAAAGGTGGACAGGATAAAGGATAAAGATGAGATCAAATTGAGGTTCTTCGAAGAAAATATGCATACCACTGATCCTAACAGTAGGTTTTTGAGACTTATTTTGTAGTATGAATATTATAAATGTGTTTTTAATTTTTTTCAGTAAAAACGAGGCTGTTTTCGGAAAGAGAGATGAAGGAAATTACTAAAAGGAATTATAAAAAGTTACCCGAAGTGAAGCAAAAAGCAGTGCATTACAAAGAACTAAAACTTAAGAATGCTGACAGGTTTATCAGAGACATGATGGCAAAGGTATATTGAATATCTTTAAATGTACAGGGTATACATACATTGTATTTTTGGAATTTCACTCTAATCGATTTTTTGTTTGTTTCAGAAAATTCAAGGATCCGTGCTGAAAGGCAAAAGAAACTTCCCTATAGATAGACATGTTATCAACTTGAAAAAGTAATCGTTATGTTAAGCTTACACTATTCTAGTTGCAGACCAAAACATTGTGTGTTGTGAAAGCCATTTTAATAAAAATTTTATACAATATATTTATTTACATAAAGCAGTTGTATTATTTAAAACACGCATTAAGTCAGATGGATAAAAATAAGTGTGTGCTTTTACTTGTGAAAAATCAAAGGTGATAAAGGTGTCATGTAACATTTTTTTAAAAATTGCTTTATTGTATTAAACTAACCTTAAGAAGTGATTATTTCATTCTGTAATTACTTTGTAGCAAAAACAAGCTAATAACAAACTAATTAAACTAAATATTTTCACTAAAGTAAAAAGTCCCAATAATTCCATACAGTGATTTTGTTACAAAACATTTTTATCCACTTGTGTCTTCAGTAGTAAAGTATATAAACAAGAAGTATAGCTCAGGAAGTGTAATCGCATCCGCTTTGAAAAAAATATTCTGATTAGTTTTTACTTCTTACGTCATTGGCGAGGAAGTATCGTAATCGCGAAAAATTTGGAAAATGCGATAGTTTTTTGGATGATAAAGAACGAAAGCCAAAGTCACTGATTTCCGTCGGTATGTCTGTCGATAATCTTTGGTCTGTCTATAACTTGAAAAGTACCGCTCGGGTTTTAATGAAATTTTTTCACAAGCTCATCACTACTAATGCAAGGACGAAAAAACTGTACGCTCGACAAAAAATGCTTCGAATGCTGAGGATAACTGAATCATTGAATGATGACGCGTGTATAGAATCCGCGTATATGTCGAGCTGCATTGCCACGTTGCTGGATAGTCGGTAGGGCGTTAAGTTAGATCTCAATGTTGTTAAATCTGTGGAATATGGACTAATAATTGTACGAGCCTGTTTGACTGAGATGATCAATTTAATTCTTTTGTTGCTTTGTTATACATGGTCGTAGCCAATTTTTTTCCAAGACAAACTAACTTGTGCCAAATATAATACTTTATGCATAGATGACAACGTTGCGTTGGAACTACATGTGTATAGTTGCTTACGAACACATTCTGACCTATAAAACTAACTGACCGACACTTAAGATTTGACACAACTTGGTTAGAATCTTACCTCTCCCCTTCCCGCTGTTAAGACACCCGGATTTTCGTTGAGATATCTTAAGTTGGCCCCAAACACGACGTTTTTGAATGTTTGACGTTCATAATTGAGGTTGGGTATCTTTAATGTTTGTAAATAATTTCTCATAGGTAGTCTCTATTTAGTGATTCATTATGGAGGAATACGAATTAAAGTTTATCATTAATAATAAATCACAAAACGTACACACTGATTATTATCTTATTATTCGCTCTTTGTCAGTTGATAGGTATGGTACGTTCTTCTTGAAATCGTGCTTACGATCAACAACTTAGCTCAGGTCAGAAGCTAATGGAAGCTAACTTTAACTTATGTCAGAAAATCGCCAGTTCGTAAGCAACGTATGTTTAGGTGTATAGGTTAAAATAGTTTTGACTACAGCGCCATCTATGAGATACTAAAAAGTATATACAGTGAAATTTGAACCTCACCGTATAGAAAATAGAGCAACAGAGATGACAAATTTTCATAGATGACGCTACTGTACCTTATTTTATCTCTGGAATATACCATTAGTTTAACTTTCTACAGGATTTTCCAGTTGATGTTTGCCGAGATAGTCCGCGTGATGCTAGGCAACCCATTATACAGAGTGGGGTACGCGTGCTTGTCTACCAAGCGGCAACACTGACAGCTGCTTGCTGGTGTTAATTGAACGTAGTTGTAACATTGATTCAACATCTGCGGGTAAAAAAGCTCATTCGCAAAATTATCGTACATTCAGCTATTATCCTACACATAGTATCGTACATCGTACAGTACTTGAAATTATCGTACAGAAACGATAATTATCGTACGTCTGGCAACGCTGGTCGATACGATGTTCAGTCGCTCGCAAAAATTATCGCGCTTGACAGAAACTCATATTCTACTTGAACTCTCGCGTTCAGAGACGTCGTTATCGCCTCCGAAATTTTTCAGGAGCATTTGTACAAAGTATATTCAGGTGGTTATTAAAGACCAAAAAGCACCGTTCTTATTTCCAGTATGTCACCCAAGGCTTATTAGCTATGTGGCACTACTATTCTAGTAAAACTTGTTAATTGTTATACAGAGGAGTTTCTAATAAATTTGTTATTTACGGGAATAAAACCCGATATAAGATGGCAATTTGAAATATATAATTATTAGAAAAGTCATATTAGCAAGAAATTTTTGGTCGAAGAATTCCTGATACTTTTTATAAATAACAATAAAGTAGTTATTAGTATTAGGATATCTAGTTTAACTGACAGTTCATTAAAAGTCTATATTTTCTTGATAGGAAAGTATTGACTAATGTACGAACAAACCGATAATGATCACTGGGGCCGTTAATCAATGAAGTTGGTGAGTAAACGTATGTATGGTTTCCTACTTTTATCCCAAATAAAAATAAATCAGGTTAAAGCTAGAGCGTGCACTTTTTTATTCAATCGATCCAACACAAGATACACAGACCAAACCTTAAAACTAGAATCTTCAGCTTCGTTAGTTGACGAAGAGCGTCTGTACCCATTGATAAGCACTTGAGCAGCAGGAGGTCAAATGTACTCCTGCGGCACTAGTACTTAGTAACAAGGCAGAGCAACGAAGATAGACCTAACGAAGACCTCCTGATAGCTGCATTCTGAAACACATGGGACAACATCAACGTAATACGATTAAATGACAAGGTGATTCATCTCACACTAATCTGCTTCTCATTTTCTTCTTTTTTCCCCTCGCAAGAGTGTAAAGGGTATTTCATCCTCTAAGCTTTGAAGATTTTTGTGGCAAAATTTTCGTAATCTGTAATTACGACACACGGTACATATTGGGGTAATTTGGGACGCAGATTTCGAGTATTGCCATAAAAAATGAGGGGATCATTAATATATTCCAGAGATAAATTGACATCATATTCGTAATCTACCCATTCGATTTACAAAAAAAAACTGGTCATGGTTTCACGTTGCAGGATACTCTCGCCTTTAAACGTTGAAGTTTTTCTAGCCAAAATTTCTATTTTCGCAACTTGTAGTTACAACTGAATCGCCAAAAGCCAAAATTGTACAAAAAATCTTGCTAAATATGCATTAAATTCCGTTTTAATTTTGAAACGTGAGTTGTGTAGATCAAATCCAATTTATTTTCTTTTGTTCAACTGCGATCACAATACTTTTTTTTGTTTTTCGTGGGCAGTTGGGATGTCAATATATTTAGCCTCCTAATAAATCCTTTGAATACTGTAAGTTAAGAAGAGTAGAGTAAAGTTGGTGAATATACTAATTTGAGGCATTCAAATTAAACAAGTAGTTCCGATATCTGTGAGGTTCTGTCATGTCGCTGGAGTAATTTAGGTCGCATTTGCAAAAATGAAATTATGCGAAGCGTGTAATATGTAATCATGGAAAATTAGTATGGTAATGTGGAATGCTACTGAATAGTAGAATAACATATTACTTTCCGACCAATTGTGTCCTTTTATTTCTAAACATAAACAAATTCAGTATCCTTAATCAGTAGGCCCGGTAATGTGGAACACTCGTATGGTTGATGTTTGGACATATACTAAGTGACATATAAATCCGAACACCCAGTTTAAATGGTTTTATTTTAATAAAATTTTGTATAAGTACTTAATGAAGCATAATAAGTAAACGATAAAAATTTCAAAATGATTGCACTGCTTTAAAGCCCTTTGACCTTTAATAATGTGTGGATGCACCCTAATGTGCTACGCATTCTCTAACGCGCCTAGGCATGCTTTTGATCAGGTGGTCAATGTCCTCCTGTGGTATCTCATTCCAGGCAACCACCAACTCCTCTCGAAGTGCTTCTAGAGTATGAGGAGGACGTTGCAAATTGAGCAATCTCCTACCCATCATATCCCACACGTGCTCAATTGGGGATAAGTCGGGAGATCTTTGTGGCCATGGTAACAATGTGACATCATTATGTTGAAAGAAGTCTATTGTGACTCTTGCAACATGTGGTCGGGCATTATCTTGTTGGAAAGTTGGATCTGCCAGGGTGTCAAGATAGGGTAAAAGATGGGGTTCTAGAACTTCGTGGATATAACGCTGCGCGTTCATGTTACCTCTGATGAAGATTAAAGGTGACCTGGAACCATAAGCTATAGCACCCCAAACCATAACTCCAACAGTGTGATGAACATGTCTTTCAACAAAAAACTGTGGATTCTTCCTTTCGCCACGTCGCCTTCTAACCCTGGCACGACCATCGTGCATGCCTAAACAAAATCGAGACTCGTCACTAAAGACAATACTGTTCCATTCCTGATCGCAGAGTGACCGTTGTCTGCACCACTCAAGGCGATTACGTCGGAGTTCTCGAGTGAAAGGGAGGACCCAGTGTGGCCGGTATGAAAACAAGCCAAAACTTCTCATTCGTCGGTAAACACTTCGCATGCCAATAGGTCTTCCGTGTTCTGCAAACCATTCATTTGCAATGGACCTGGTAGTGGAGAAACGGTCCCTTAAGGCCAATAATCTTAGGCGGCGATCTTCACTGTCTGTTGTTCTACGGCGGCGTCCAGTGCTCCTTGCTCTTTGCGTACGGCCTTCTCGAAGCCATGCCTGACAACACCTAACCAGAGTGTTATTTACAGTAAGATAAATACATTCACCAACTTTTATTAAAATAAAACCATTTATACTGGGTGTTCGGATTTATATGACACTTGGTATATTCCACAATACCATTCCACCCTCTCAAGTTTATAGCTAGAATCTATAAACATAGATTTGATAATTAATTCACACATAATTTGATAATGCATGTATCTGAGGTTTAACAACAAATAGTAATTATTAGAACAAAGTTGTACTTTTCCTAGAAATACAAAAAAATGGCAGCCATTCCGATGTTTCAATATTCACGTTTACCGGTTTCACCAACTTTTTTGAGGTTATGCTCCTTCTCCTTAATCGATAAAACAGCTTGTATCAGATAGTTACGCTACTGATACAAGAGTAAATAATGCCATGGAAGTGCAGGTGTCGCTACTGGTTTTGGAGATATCTGACTATTCCACTCTACCTGCCTATTCCACATTCACCAACTTCACTCTACGAAAATAACGTTAAATACTTTTAGTTTATTGCTTTATTCCTCTTGAATCGCCTTTGGTTCTTTCCAAATTTACGGTGATATTCACTATGGCTTCAAAGCACATTGCTCCCCAATTTTTTAAAATCGGTCCATCACCGTCGGTTACTGATATTACGCGGCGACAAAGCTAACCGAAATAATCCGTATGATTCTTTTTGATGTATACATACATTACAATATATAAATAATTTCACATCGTCAATCATTTTATTCAAATACTAATGCTGCTAGAATTTGTTTTATGCTAAAAAAAAAATGATAACAAATTCATGGTGACTCTATTATTATAAATTTTTGCTATAATTGCAGTTTATCCGTAGTCCCTAATAAATTTCAATTCCACAGTAGGCCATGACAATTTTTCTGGCTATAAATATGTGCGTCTAGATTGGTTTTTGGGTTCACAGAGAAAATAATTGGGGCAATCGTTTCTAGTAGGCCCTGAATTTTTAAAGGGTTCGAGAGTTCATTTCGCGCTTTCCGGTACGAAATGAATGTTGGGTTCGAGATTACGCGTAAAGAAACGGTGTATATTCCAACTTTGATCTGATATAAATATGCAGAATACAAAACGAACAGTGACTCTGGGCGGCTGAAGCTTCTGCAGGTTGAGCTATGTGGAGTGGAAAATTAAGTTTATGGTCAATAAGTACACCCAAATCCTTAATTGAGTTATAACGATTTACGTAAAAATCCCTAATCTTATTTTTTTCCTGGAAAAGCTGACTACGCTATACTTAGACGCATTAAGAAATAAATTATTCTCATCAATCTTAAAAAGCTTACATATTCTACACCTTGTGAAGTATAGCCTCGTCTGTGCTGTGTCGACGTTGAAAAACATGCAAAGTCCAACCGGATTCTCCTTGATACCATCTGACAAATGATATCCGAAATAACGCATCAGTTAGTTTTGTTGTGCAGAGTTTGTACGTGAAACGATAACGTAGACTATTATGTCCATGATTTCCTCTCAACGAAACGTGTAAGGACACTTTATAGGCTCGCAAACTGATATACGACTTTTTTAAATCGTTGCGATGATTTATTAATTGAAGCATTCTCTTTTCCAAATGTCTAAACTACCATAATAAGCTACTATTGTTTTAAAGCGACAAAATACCTGTTGATATCGAATTGAGCGTCAGCTTCCCATTATTTTTCACACTCAATGTTCTATTCCAGTGTTTGAAAAATCACTTGAACTTATTTCTTGCGAAACTTAAAAGACTTAACCGCGATGACTG